TAGCCCGGAAAAACCTACAACAACCCAGTGATTCCGGCCATGAAAGCCTTCGACAATACAATAATAATAACACTTTATTTGTACCCTGCTACTATCTCCCGAGGGACTCGGTGCGGCTTACATGAGGCTGAGCCCACAATACAACAATAAACAATAACAACAATAATACAAAAGCAATACATAAACTCATAAGCAAAATAAGCAAAAACAATAACAATAACACGGCGCATTTAAAAACCTATGGTTGGGCCAAATGTAACAATTAATTTAAAAAAAAAATAATGATGGGCATGAGCAGGTAACATGTAATCGGGATAGAGATTTTGGAGAGGGCAGAAATGTGCAGACAATCTAAAGTCATTATTAAAGTGCATTTGAGGACATATTGCTGGGAGTTTCCTTATTCTGGGAAGGCACACTGAAACAGCCACATCTTCAGGCTCCTCCTAAAGACTGCCAGAGTTGGGGCTTGCCTAATATCCCTGGGGAGTGAATTCCAGAGTCGAGGGGCCACCACCGAGAAGGCTCTCTCCCTCATCCGCACCAATCGCACCTGCGATGGTGGTGGGAGTGTGAGCAGGGCCTCTCCAGATGACCGAAGAGATCGTGTGGGTTCATACACAGAGATGTGGTCATGCAGGTAGGCCACTTTTGCTAGTATGGAATCATTGGAGCTGTAGTATTAGAGCATCTTGAGTCTTCTTTGCCAAACAAACTACAAATCCCATGATTCCGCAATATTGTGCCATGGCAGTGAAGGTGGAGGAGCCCTTGATGGCACAATGGATGAAACCAGGCATGGGCAAAGTTTCTAACTTGCAGGCTGCGTGTTAGCACTCCAACTAGGAGGACTGGCTGCCCGCTGATGGAAGGAAGGGAAGGAGGAAGAAAAGGAGAAAGAAGGAGAGATGGAAAAAGGAAAGAAAGAAGGAAGGAGGGATGAAAGAGGGAGGGAAGGAAAGACAAAAGTGAGTGAGTGAGTGAGTGAGGGAGGGAGGGAGGGAAGGAAGGAAGGAAGGAAAAGGAGAAGGAAGGAAGGAAGGAAGAAAGGAAAAAGGGAAGAAAGGAAGGGAGGAAGAGAAGGGTGGAAGAAGAAAGAGGGAGAGAGAGAAGGAGGGAGGAAAGAGGGAAGGAAAGTCAAAAGGAAATGAAGGAAGGAAAAAGAGAAGGGAGGAAGGGAAGCATGGAAGGAAGGAAAGAAAGGATAAAAGAAAGAGAGAAGGAAGGAAAGACAAAAAGGAATGAAGGAAGGAAAAAGATAAGGGAGGAATGGAAGCATGGAAGGAACGAAACAAAGGATAAAGGAAAGAGAAGGAAGGAAAGACAAAAAGGAAGAAGAAAGAGGTAGAGAGGGAAGGAGGGAGGAAAGAGGGAAGGAAAGGCAAAAGGGAATGAAGGAAGGAAAAAGAGACGGAAGGAAGGGAGGAAGGGAAAATGGGTGGAAGGAAAGAAAGGATAAAGGAAAGAGAAAAGGAAGGAAAGACAAAAGGAAGGAAAAACAAAAGGGAAGGAAGGAAGGAAAAAGAGAAGGGAGGGAGGGAGGAAGAGAAGGATGGATGGAAGGAAAGAAAGAAATGAAATGAACGAAGGAAGAAGAGAAGGTGGGGAGAAAAAGAAGGATGGAAGAAGAAAAAGGGAGAGAGGGAGGAAATAGAGAAGGAAAAATGGGAATGGAGGAAGGAAAAAGAGAAGGAAGGAAAGACAAAAGGGAAGGAAGGAATGAAGGAAAAAGAGAAGATGGAGGGAGGAAAAGAAGGAAGGAAGGAAGGAAGAAAGGAAGGAAGGAGGGAGCGGAGGGAGGGAAGGATAAAAGAAAGAGAGAAGGATGGAAAGCCAAAAGGGAAGGAAGGAGAAAGAGGGAGAGAGGGATAGAAGGAAGGACGAAAAGGTGGAAGGGAAAGAGAAAGAAGGAGGGAAGGAGGAAGGAAAGAGAGAAGGAAAGGAAGGATAGTGTGGTGAAATAGAGGAGGGACTGAGAAAAGAGCCCAAGGGGTAGCATATGGCTCCTGGGCTTGGGTTTACCCATATCTGGGTTAAAAACCTGTGGCAACAGGACTGCTGACCAAAAGATCAGCACTTCAAATCCGGGGAGCAGGGTGAGCTCCCATCTGTCAGTTCCAGCTTCTTATGCAGAGATATGAGAGAAGCCTCCCACAGGATGATACAACACCTGGGTGTCCCCTGTGCAACATCCTTGCAGATGGCCAATATGCTCACACCAGAAGCGACTTGCAGTTTCTCAAGTCACCCCTGATATGAAAAAAACAGTGAAGGTGGTGCTAAACTGCATTACTTCCACAGCTCTACACTGAAGTTCTGCACAGGTCGAGTGACCAAACGAGGAACACACACATCAAAACAGAAGGAAAACAGCTCAGAGAGAATGGTTCTCACGATATGTGGGGACTGTCTGCTCATTCCAATCACTGTCCGGTTTATTCTTCTCAGCAGGCGGTCCATGATGAGCTGGATGTGAGCGGCGGTAGGGCCCTGAAGAAGATGAAACAAGCAGAAACCATTCAGGCAGGATTTGGACACAGCTGTTCCCAGAGAGATTTGCACTGTGCAGAAGTGCAACAGGTTCTGCAAAAGTCTTTGCCCACCAGACAAACTTCCTATTGTTCTTCTCTAAATGATCTCTACTCTTGTATGCTTCACATAATGATGGAGAAGGACACTTCTAATTAAGCAAGAAAAAGCTCAAAAATGGTAAAATTTGGAGTGTAAATACTTATATGGCTACCGCATCAATGTCCCTTACTAATGACCAATCAACAGGTGGCTATATCAGGAGGATGAAAACATCCACCTTCCTCTCTTCTGCATGACTCAGTGTGAGTATCTTCTTAGGTTCTGTGTTTATTTATTTATTTACAACTAGCTATTCCCTGCCACGCATTGCTGTGCCCTATATGGGGGTTCTGTGTGCCAAGTTTGGTTCAATTCCATCGTTGGTGGGGTTCGGAATGCTCTGTGATGGTAGGTGAACTATAAATCCCAGAAACCACAACTCCCAAATGTCAAGATTCTATTTTCCCCAAACTCCACCAGTGTTCACAACCCAGGCTTTGAACCACCAACCTTTCGATTGGCAGATTTATTTATTTATTTGGTAGTTTTGTATAACTGTCTTCTCACCTCCATTCGAGGGACTCGGGCCAGTTTCCAACATCAATATTACAGACCGTCATTAAAACATCACATTTCTAAATCACACTAAAACATTAAAACAATTAAAATGGCAAAAATACAATCATATGATTACAATGGTCAGTCGTCACCAAAGTCATTATTCGTCGTCATCCATCCATATCACAGGATCATGGCTCATTCGTTGAATGCCAATCCCCACCTGTTTTCTGAACCTTAAGATCGAAGGGGCAGTTCTGATCTCCAGTGGAAGGGAGTTCCAGAGTCGAGGGGCCACCACCGAGAAGGCCCTGTCTCTCGTCCCCACCAACCGTGCCTGTGAGGCCGGTGGGATCGAGAGCAGGGCCCCTCCAGACGATCTTAGTAATCTTGATGGCTCATAGGGGAGGATACGTTCAGACAGGTAAATTGGGCCGGAGTCGTTTAGGGCTTTATAGGTTAAGACCAGCACTTTGAATTGTGCTCGGAAGCTGACTGGCAGCCAGTGGAACTGGCGCAACAGAGGAGTAGTATGCTCCCTGTATCCCGCTCCCGTTAGTAACCTGGCTGCCGCACGTTGGACTAATTGAAGCTTCCGGGCAGTCTTCAGAGGCAACCCCACGTAGAGAGCGTTGCAGTAATCTAAACGGGATGTAACCAAAGTGTGGACCACCGTGGCCAAGATGTATTGCTGCTGGTGATTAACCAGCTGTGCTAAAGCTCGGCGTATCCTGATTGTATATTTGTATATATTGCAACAGTGAAGATTAAAGCCTCTTGATATTTTGGATGAAAACCTAAATCCATGAGTTTACTAAACAGTGTGTGTAGATAAGATCAGATGCTGGCAGTTGAACTCTGCTGAAGCACATGTGTTTGCTGTGAAAGGACTCTGATGTGTTTTTGCTTGCTTCGGGGACACTCGCTATCCAGCTTGCAGCAGTTTGGGGACGTTATGATTTGGAAACTATCAATCACTTCATGTGCCCACATCCCGCAAGATGAATCCCAATGTCAGCAGAATGGTGGGGCAAAAATAAAGTAAGTGAAATAAATAACTTACTCACCACTTCCTTACGATCCAAAACCTCCAGGATATTGCTAAGCAGCTGTGAACAGGCTTCATGGTCAGGCTTGTTGAAATTATCATCCAGCTGCCCACTTAACTGGTCTACAAAGAGCGGTAACAGAACATCACGGCACTCTGCGGAAAGCAGAAGGAAATGTGACACTCAATTCACACATCAGGGTTTTAAAAAAATTGATCCTGTCAATTTATTGATTTTTACTCAATCCCTCAGTGGTGCAATGGGCTAAACCCTTGTGCTGGCAGGACTGCTGACTGAACAGTCAGCGGTTCAAATCCAGGAAGCGGGGTGAGCTCCCATCTGTCAGCTCCAGCTTCCCATGTGGGTACATGAGTGAAGCTCCCCACAGGATGGTAAAACATCCGGGTATCCCCCGGCCAATATCTTTGCAGATGATATTCTCTCACACCAGAAACGACTTACAGTTTCTCAAGTCGCTATATAAGGAGGATGTAAGAATCCATCTTTCTCTCTCCTGTGTGACTCAGTAACCCTTCTCCCCAGAATCCCAGCGTTTACAAACAAAAGGAATTGTATGGACAACCAATATTAATCCCACGGTGACCTTGGCAGAAATTATTACAAGAGTCGAATACTTGAGAATCATATAATTCCACTTTAACTGCAGTGGTTGCATCCTATGGAATTCTGAGATTTGTACTTTGGAGGTTTCTAGAACTGAGAAACCTAGATCACCAATTCCAATTGCAACTACTTATAAAAAATAATCTATTCACGAACGCAAGTTTACCCAGAGAATTGACGTTTGTTTTGGTCACATAAAATGCTTTGAGATGGTGCTGAAACTTGAACCCACTGCCTATGTGCACTGACACTGTGGGCAGCTGGCTGGAAGTCAGCTGCATTAAGATCTCTACTGACCAAAAGGTCATGAGTTCGAAGCCAGCTGGGTTGGAGTGAGCTTCCAACCATTGTGTGTAGCTTCCTGTCGACCTTTGCAGCCCAAAAGACAGTTGTATCTGACAAGTAGGAAATTTAGGTACCGCTTATGCGAGGAGGCTAATTTAACTAATTTACGATGCCATAAAAATCTCCAGCAAGCAAGCAAAAGAATGAGGAAGTACTCCATCAGTGTCACAAATGGACGGTGAAGCGATAGCTCCCTTGATGGCCAGAATACCCTCATGAAAGCTGGAAAGTTAAATAGCCTCTGTGTGTGTGTGTGTGTGTGTGTGTGTGTGTGTGTATATATATATATATACACACACACACACACAACATATATATATATATATATATATGACACACACCACACACACACACACACACACACACACACACACACACATATATATATATATATATGTTGTGTGTCTATGGCCTTGAATGTTTGCCATGTATATGTACGTTGTAATCCACCCTGAGTCCCCTGCGGAGTGAGAAGGGCAGAATATAAATACTGTAAATAAATAAATATGTTCTATTGAATGCTTTACACCAATTGGTTCCCCTCAGAAAAAGTAGTCAGAATCCCTGGCCCCGAAAAGGAAGAGGGCAACTCACCAGCTTGATGGAACAGATCGCTGTCCACAACCTTGGTCATGCAGTTGAGTTTCTGACGGACGAGTTGGTTATCAGGGATGCTTTGGATGAATTTGCTGAACAGGACACTGTAAAGAAGGACACATGGAAGAAAAAGGTTTCATTCCATTGACATTTTCAGCACCATTTTGGCTTCCTATTCCAAACTACTTCCCTCGAAGCTTACAACCAAAATATACAGGAAAAACAATTAAAATAATGCATAATGGAAAACATCAAGATCTACCGAAAGCTGCACGAGTGGAAGAGGAAAAAATGTAATATATTGTGCCTCCTTAACACAAAAACTATGGATTCAGATAAAGTCTCATTAGAACTCAAATACATTTATATATATTCAATAGCCGTCCCTTGCCACGCATTGCTGTGGCCCACTCTGGTGGTCATGGAGGTTCAGTGTGGGAGGTTTGGCCCAATTCTATCATTAGTGGGGTTCAGAATGCTCTATGATTGTACGTGAACTACAAATCCCAGCAACTACAACTCCCAAATGTCAAGATTCCATTTTCCCCAAACTCTACCAGTGTTCACATTTGGGCATATTGAGTATCCATGTAGAGTTTGGTCTAGATCCATCATTATTTGAGTCCACAGTGCTCTCTGGATGTAGGTGAACCACAACTCCAAAACCAAAGACCACTGCCCACCAAACCTTTCAGTATTTCCAGTATTTTTTGTTGGTCATGGGAGAACTGTGTGCCAAGTTTGGTTCAATTCCATCGTTGGTGCGGTTCAGAATGCTCTTTGATTGCAGGTGAACTATAAATCCCAGCAACTACAACTCCCAAATGTCAAGATTCCATTTTCTGTTGGTCATGGGAGAACTGTGTGCCAAGTTTGGTTCAATTCCATCGTTGGTGGGGTTCAGAATGCTCTTTGATTGTAGGTGAACTATAAATCCCAGCAACTACAACTCCCAAATGACAAAATCAATTTTTTGAGTGAAGGACATACATTGGATTGTTAGGTGTCCTGTGTCCAAATTTGCTGTCAATTCATCCAGTGGTTTTTGAGTTCTGTTAATCCCACAAACGAACATTACATTTTTATTTATATAGGTAACTACTGGTATCACTATAGGTTGGCATCTTGTTAGGGATACACACTCCTGAATTTACATGCAAACACTCCTTTTGTGTTGTATAGCTACCTGAGCTCCACAGGATCAAAAACCAGTTTGACATCATTGATTATGCTTGGCAAATATTTCAAAGCAGCACCCTGCAACATACAGAAAAGGGAGAAAGATAAGAACAATCTATATGAGGACATACTATATTACATATCAAAGACACAAGTAAGACACGGCTTACAAGATATATATACATACAATATATTATATTATTAGCATAATACAATATCAGTATTATATATTACTATATTGTACTATACCATTATCTTGTAATATTATTAGTAATATTACATGTAATATAAAATATATAATTATAATATTGTATTATTATTAGTAGTATTATATTGTATTACATTATAATGTTATAAATACTATATGTATATATAATATGTTATATTATATTATATTATAGTATTACTATATTATATAGTATAATATAGTATAACATAATATAATATATTGTATATACAGATATTATATATGTATAATATAATATAATATATTGTCGAAAGCTTTCATGGCTGGAATCACTAGGTTCTTGTGGGTTTTTTCGGGCTATAGAGCCATGTTCTAGAGGCATTTCTCCTGACGTTTCGCCTGCAAGCAAAATGTCAGGGGAAATGCCTCTAGAACATGGCTCTATAGCCCGAAAAAACCCACAAGAACCTAATATAATATATGTTGGTCATTTCCTGTTGACATTTATGACCTGCCAATAACCTTTGTTTTCTTACAAATATTTCCATATATTATTTATAGTAGTAGTAGTAATAATAATAATAATAATAACAATAACAACACTTTATTTATATTCTGCAAATATATTCTGCCTGCGAAGAACCTATTGGATATCAAACCAAGAAACATCAAGATTGGTTTGACGAAAATGACAACGAGATCCAACAGCTAATTGACAAGAAAAGGGAGGCCTTCCAAACATGGCAGAGAGACATCAACTGTGCTACTAAGAAAAAGATCTATGCCAGTGCAAAAGCTGAGGTCCAAAGAAGGACAAGAGAACTCAAGAACATCTGGTGGACAAAGAAGGCTGAAAAAATCCAACACCTGGCAGATACCCATGATGCTCAGGGATTTTTCAAAGCCACAAAGGTCATCTATGGACCAAGAAACCATGGCATACAGCCTCTCCGCTCATCAGATGGAACCAAACTCCTGAAGGACCAAAAATCAATTTCACTGCATTGGAATGAACACTACCAAAGCCTTCTGAACCGCAGCTCCAATGTGGCTGAAGAAGTTCTCTCACAAATCCTGCAACAACAAACCAGGGATGAGCTTGCAGCACTGCCTAGTCTGGAAGAAGTCAGCAATGCCATCAGCCAACAAAAAAATAACAAAGCCAGCGGACCTGATGGGATCCCTGCTGAAATCTTTAAAGAGGGAGGACCTGAGCTGACACAACAACTCCACCAGCTCATTGAAAAAGTGTGGGTGACTGAGAAAATCCCAGCAGATTTCAAGGATGCCACCATCATCACCCTCTTCAAAAAAGGGGAAAGAACAGACTGCGGAAACTATCGAGGTATCTCCCTTCTAACCTCCGCTGGGAAAATCCTCGCAAGAATCCTTGCAAACCGCCTTCTGCCCCTCTCAGAAGACACCCTCCCAGAATCCCAGAATGGCTTCCGCCCCTCCAGAGGAACCGTGGACATGATCTTCACTGCACGACAGCTCCAAGAAAAATGCAGAGAACAAAATCAACCTCTGTACATGGCATTCATCGACCTTGCAAAGGCATTCGACACAGTGAATCGCAGCGCTCTCTGGACCATCCTCCAAAAAATCGGGTGCCCTAACAAATTTGTGAACATCCTGCGGCTCCTCCATGATGACATGATGGCAACAGTCTTGGACAGCAGTGGCTCCCAAAGTGACCCATTTCAGGTGGAATCGGGTGTCAAACAGGGATGTGTTATTGCCCCAACTCTATTCTCCATCTTCATCGCTATGATACTTCAACTTGTTGATGGGAAGCTTCCCACCGGAGTGGAAATCATCTATCGGACAGATGGCAAGCTGTTCAACCACAGCAGACTGAAAGCCAAAACCAAGGTTACAACAACATCTGTTATAGAACTCCAGTATGCTGATGACAATGTCATCTGTGCGCATTCAGAAGAAGATCTACAAGCCACTCTAAACACCTTCGCAGAAGCATACACGAAGCTTGGCCTGTCACTGAACATCGAGAAAACCAAAGTGCTGTTCCAGCAGTCACCAGCCATCCCCTCCCCAATGCCAGAGATACAGCTTAATGGTGTAACATTAGAAAATGTTGACCATTTCCGCTACCTTGGCAGCCACCTCTCCACCAAAGCCAACATCGACACCGAAATACAACACCGCCTGAGCTCTGCGAGTGCAGCATTTTCCAAAATGAAGCAGAGAGTGTTTGAGGACCGGGACATCCGTAGGGATACCAAGGTGCTTGTTTATAAAGCTATTGTCCTCCCAACCCTGCTTATGCCTGTGAAACGTGGACTGTCTACAGGCGTCACATGCAACTCCTGGAACGATTCCATCAGCGCTGCCTCCGGAAAATACTGCAAATGTCTTGTGAAGACAACTAGACAAATGTCAGCGTGCTGGAAGAAGCAAAGACCAATTCTCTCACACAAGAAGCAACTTGCAGTTTCTCAAGTTGCTCCTGAAACGAAAAAAAAAATCACTTCTGACACAATAAATAAATTGTATTTTCCCCCTTTACCCTTTGCAAATGAAACATTACATACAAATACAACAAATAGTACTAGTCTAAGAAAGAACTAATGTAGATATCTCTTTCTTTACTCTAGCTAACCTGCTTGGTTTGACACACATCTTGCCTGCCTCTCCCAGCATCTCTGTTTTGCAGAAAGATTGCAACTATCGTGAAAATGCAAACTACTCTATGTATAGCAGGCCAAGACAATATCCAGAAGGATAGCCAACATTGGAGGACTTATTTGCAAGGAAATTATATGAATTGGCAACATACATCACAAGGTTCAGATCATTTTGATATGTTGGCACTAACCTTGATCTTAACAGCCTCCTCCAGTGGCCGGTCCATGAGGACGTTAAAGGAGAGGAAAAGCTTGCGGATGGCATTGTTAAACTCATCGCCATCTTCACTTTTACCGTAAAATCTACAAGAAGAAAGAATATTGGTAAGTACCTAGAAGTCTGTTGTTTAACATCTATATGTGACCACTTGCTCTGCTGGTTCGAGGTTTTGGGCTTGAGTGTTACCAGTACGCAGATGACACTCAGATTGTGTTAAAGATGGAAGGCCGACCAGAGTCTGTACCCGATTATTTCCATCAGTACCTCGAGGCCGTGACTGGATGGCTGCGTGCCAGCAGGTTGAGGGTGAATCCGGCAAAGACGGAGATCCTATGGCTGGGTCGACCGGGCAGTGGGGATATCCAGTTGCCTACCCTGGATGGCAAGGCACTACGCCCGTTATCATTGGTAAAGAGTCTGGGAGTCCTTTTGGACCCTCTGCTGATGATGGAGGCCCAAGTCTCCGCCGTGAGCAGAACCGACTTCTTTCACCTGCGGCAGGCTAGACGGCTGACCCCTTCCTGTCCAGGGACGACCTCGCTACGGTGATCCAGGCCACGGTCATCTCAAGACTGGACTACTGTAATGCCCTCTACATTGGCCTTCCTCTGTCGGTGATCCGGAAGCTCAAGTTGGTACAAAATGCAGCTGCTCGGCTTCTTGCGGGAATTCCGATGAGATGCCACATCACCCCAATCTTACTGCAGCTGCATTGGTTACCAATTGAGCACCGGATCACTTTCAAAGGGATGGTACTCACCTTTAAGGCCTTGCATGGTCTGGGGCCGATGTACCTGAGGGACCGCCTCACCCCCTCCCAACCCCAGAGATCCCTCCGTTCTGAGGACCAAGATCTATTGGAAGTTCCCAGTTTTAAGACCTTGCGTCTAACAGCAACCAGATGCAGAGCCTTTACAGCAGTGGCACCATCACTCTGGAATACTCTGCCATCTGAAGTCCATGTCTTGCGGGACTTATCAGCGTTCCGCAGGGCATGTAAGACATATTTGTTTCGACAGGCTTTTGATCTTTGATATTGCTGTTTTTTAAAATTGTTTTAGATTTTAGCCTGTTCTTGTAAGCCGCTCCAAGCCCTAGGGGAGTGGCCGCATATAAGTTTGAATAATAAATAAATAAATAAATAAAGTCTCTCTAGAAATATCTAGATTGTCCAGCATGACTGGAAGAAGTTGACCAAGGAGAACAATCGCTGAATAATCAAAGCTGCGAAAGTCAAAGCCGCAAGCAAAACTGTGTTTTGCAGGACCTTCTCAGTAGTTGCCCCCAGGCTCTGGAACTCCCTTCTTAAACAGACTAGGGTCACTCCTATTTTACAATTCTGGAATTGTCACCATTGGTAATTGAACTTGCCCAATGGAAATTAGTACTGAATTGGCTTCTAATTTAAATATGTATGAGTGTTATATAATATTATGTCTTTGTTTTTAATGATTTTTCTGTATGTCTAGGTTGTTGGTAATTGCAATGTTTTACCTATGTTGGAAACCACCCTGAGTCCCCTTGGGGAAATAGAGCAGTATGTAAATAAAGTATTATTATTATTATTATTATTATTATTATTAGTATTAGTATTATTAAATCAGGACAATTAAATCAGCCCCTGGTGGCACAGTGGGTTAAACCCTTGTGCTAGCAGGACTGAAAACCGACAGGTCGTAAGTTCGAATCCAGGGAGAGCGTGGATGAGCTCCCTCTGTCAGCTCCAGCATGCGGGGACATGAGAGAAGCCCCCCCACAAGGTTGTTAAAACATCAAAACATCCGGGCAACGTCCCCTGGGCAACGTCCTTGCAGATGACCAATTCTCTCACACCAGAAGGAACTTGCAGTTTCTCAAGTTGAAAAAAGGACAGTAAATAAAGAGCAAGACTAAAAAAACAGGGGGATTCCAGACAGGAAACAATCAGGGTCAGCTAACACCTTCCAACAAAGATTACCTCCAGGCAGGAAGCAACCAGGCTTTGAAGCTACAAGGCCATTCAGTGCTAATCAAGGTGGCCAATTGCAACATTCAGACTTGCCTCCAACAGACAAGAGTTCTTTCTCCCACCCTGGGCCTTCCACAGCCAGGCTTTGAAGCTGCAAGGCCATTCAGTGCTAATCAAGGTGGTCAATGGCAACATTCACACTTGCCTCAAACAGAGTTCTTTCTCCCACCCTGAACATCATTCCACAGACATATAAACCTCACTTGCCTAGTTTCCAACAGACCTCACAACTTCTGAGGATGCCTGGCCTAGATGTGGATGAAACGTCAGGAGAGAATGCTTCTGGAAATGGCCGTACAGCCTAGAAAACTCACAGCAACCTACATTCCTATTCACACTTACGATTGTACAGCATCTTTCCTAAGCAGTGTGCATTTTAAAAAAATGTTTTATTTTTCAAGTGGTTTTAATGTCTTTAATAGTTTAATAACATTTTAAAACGTTTGTTCTTTTGTCAATTTTTCACTATCTGGTGGTTTTTAAAAAAATCTGTTGTGAGCCACCTTGAGACTCAAATTGGAGAAATGAAGAAATAGGAATAAATCAGTGTTTGCCCAGGGAACCTTCTGATGGGGTAGCAAACAAATTTATGTATTTATTTACGACATTTATATGCCGCCCTTCTCACCCCGGCTTACAAGATACACATACACACACACACACACATATACACACACACACAAATACAATAATATTATATTATTAGCATAGTACACTATCAGTATTAAATATTACTATATTGTATTATACCATTATATTGTAATATTATTAGTAATATTATAAAATATATAATTATAATATCATATTATTATTAATATTACATTGTATTACATTATAATAATATAAATATTATTATAATATATATTATTTTTGCCGCCAACAATGTGGTGTGGCGGCAAAAAAAGCCAATGGGATTTTGGCCTGCATCAATAGGAGCCTAGTGTCTAGATCCAGGGAAGTAATGCTACCCCTCTATTCTGCTTTGGTTAGACCACATCTGGAATATTGTGTCCAATTCTGGGCACCACAATTCAAGAGAGATATTGACAAGCTGGAATGTGTCCAGAGGAGGGCGACTAAAATGATCAAGGGTCTGGAGAACAAGCCCTATGAGGAGCGGCTTAAAGAGCTGGGCATGTTTAGCCTGAAGAAGAGAAGGCTGAGAGGAGACATGATAGCCATGTGTAAATATGTGAGAGGAAGTCATAGGGAGGAGGGAGCAAGCTTTTTCTGCTGCCCTGGAGACTAGGATGCATGGAACAATGGCTTCAAACTACAGGAAAGGAGATTCCACCTGAACATGGGAAGAACTTCCTGTGAGAGCTGTTCAGCAGTGGAACTCTCTGCCCCAGGTGTGGTGGAGGCTCCTTCTTTGGAAGCTTTTAACAGAGGCTGGATGGCCATCTGTCAGGGGTGCTTTGAATGCAATGAATCTGGCATAAAATTTCACATCTGGGATGTGACATGCCTGGGTGTAGGTTTTATCAGAAAAAAAACAGCACATCCAAAATCTTCAGAATTGCTCTATGGATTGTAGCCAATAAAAATCCTTGGTTTCACATTAAGACATCTTTTTTACCTTCTAAGAATTCTAATTAAAAACTGAATGTCATTCTCTCTACAACAAGCCCTGGTGCTCTTGTTGAGAAGGTACTACTCTCTGTACATGAGTTCGATCCCCATGCAGCTATTAGCCCCTAACCCCCTCAAAAAAAAAAAAAATCCAATGCTTTCAGGACCTCTTTGGGAATAGCAGCATCTTATCCACACATTTCTGAGATAGTAAGAACCACAGCAGCATGACAGTGCTTCATTAGCTGAATATATCATGCAGATAGAATTGGCTCCGTTGTTTCAAATAAAAATGAACAAAAATATTTTTCTGAATCCAAACACAGGAAAACATGATCAACTAGTATCACTAAAATCTGATTGACCAATGTTCTTATAAATCAGAAAATCCAATTACCAAAATCAACTTAACATTATGGAAAGGATGACAAAATGAATTGTATACTGTCAATTATTACAATTCCCCTCTAAATAAATCTAGAATTAATTTATGCAACTTTGAAAAATAGGATTAATGTTTGGTGACTTTTTAAATACCATTTAAAATTCAAGAATAAATATGTGAATGACCAACAATATAGAGATATTTGTGTTTTGAAGCTTTTAAGCAGAGGCTGGATGGCCATCTGTCAGGGGTGATTTGAATGCAATATTCCTGCTTCTTGGCAGAAAGGGGTTGGACTGGATGGCCCAGGAGGTCTCTTCCAACTCTTTGATTCTTGATTCTATGATATGTATACACCATATATTGCATTAGATTATATTACAATATATTAATTATAAATAAAAAGGAAATAAATTCCACTTTGAACAGTGCAACTCCTTAATAAAAATATTGCATAGACTGTAGCCTTAGAATAGCACAAAGGGACATATATAACTATGAGAAAAAGAGTGTTTTCTATTTAATGTTTGTTTAAAGCAAGGAGCTTGCTTATTTGCACTGACTGTGAAAAGATGTGGGTTTTCCCCTGATCGCCTCATGCTGGGAAATGCTTCCAACCCCCTGGAAAGAAAGAAATAACTGCTCACTTCCTCAAACATTCATTTGTAAAATTAGAACCTGTGGGAATGCTTACTTTTCTGGATAATGAAGGCAACCGGAAAGTTTATAGAGAGCTCTTCATGGAGTGCTTAGAGTTACAGATGTATGGCATATATATACTATGACTGTATCCACAAAATAAATCATGAATCTCAAGCAGAACTTGGAAAAATGATAGTTACAACAAAATATTGCACTAAAAATATGCCCTTCCACAAACACCACGATCACCTTTCGTCCATGCTCCAGCACTTTGCAATTTTAACTTTACATTTGGCCTTCCCAGAGTTTTAATTGAGTGTTGTCTTATTGATAATGTGTATTTTTACTGTCTATGCTTTATTTTAACTGCTGTATTGTTGTTATTATTGCTTGTATTGTTGTGTTTGGGCTCGGCCTCATGTAAGCCGCACTGAGTCCCTTGGGGAGATGGTAGCAGGGTCCAAATAAAGGGTTATTGTTGTTGTTGTTGTTATTATTATTATTACTACTATTATTATTATTGGGAGTATGTTTGTACAGGATTCAAGGCACTTCACTGCTCCCTTTCAATTTCTTTAAGGTGAATGGATGTCCCCACTTTTTAAATGGATGATCAGCCATGGCCAGAAGGGACATTTTGAGTTTCATCTATGCTGACGATCATGCCATCACCGCACAAGCAGGGAGCTTTAAAATGGTTGAACAGAATTTGAAGCTTTAGGTGCTTTTACTGTCTATTACTTTAGGTGTTTTTTACTGTCTTACCCCTAATGAAGCTCAAGCCCCACTACTCCCCCGTCTTGGGCTCCTCCTTTACAAATACATTTTTTCTACTTCCTATGTCACCCAGGACATGCCCAGTGTGGAACACATCTCACCACACTAAAACAGTGGATGTGGCTCTTAATGACACATGCCGAATTATCACAGGGTGTCTGTGCCCTACACCACTGGAGAAATTACACTGCTTAGCCGGTATTGCACCACCTGACATCCTTCGGGAAGTAGCAGCCAATAGTGAAAGGACCAAGGACATCTCCAGCTCATCCCCTGTTTGGGTTATCAGCCAGCATGTCAACGACTTAAATCTAGAAATAGTTTTCTAAGATCTACAGAGAGACACTCGCTGGAACACCTCAGCAAGCGAGAGTCCAAAAGTGGCAGGCCCAAACCCAGAACCTCAATCTATGGCTGATACCAAATGAGAGACTCCCCCCTGGGCACACAGAGGACTGGGCGACTTGGAAGGCGCTGAACAGACTGCGCTCTGGCACCACGAGATGCAGAGCCAACCTTCAGAAATGGGGCCACAAAGTGGAATCCTCGACATGCGAGTGCGGAGAAGAGCCAACCACTGACCACCTGCTGCAATGCACCCTGAGCCCTGCCACAAGCACAATGGAGGACCTTCTTGCGGCAACACCAGAGGCACTCCAAGTGGCCAGATACTGCTCAAAGGACATTTAATCAGCTACCAAGTTTGCAAAATTTGTGTTGTTTTTTTATCTGTTTGTTTGTTTTGTTCTGTTAAAAATGTAATACAATGTTCTGGTTGCGGATGACACGATAAATAAATAAATATTGCTGTGGTTGTGTTTTTGTTCTGATGTATTTTGGGCTCGGCCTCTTGTAAGCCACACCGAGTCCTGCGGGAGATGGTAGCGGGGTATAAATAAATTATTATTATTATTATTATTATTATTATTATTATTATTATTACTGTATATTACTTTAGGTGCTCTTACTGTCTACTACGAATCTGGGGAGAGCACGGATGAGCTCCCTCTATCAGCTCCAGCTCCTAATGCGGGGACATGAGAGAAGCCTCCCACAAGGATGATAAAACATCAAAAAACATTCGGGCGTCCCCTGGGCAACGTCCTTGCAGACAGCCAATTCTCTCACACCAGAAGTGACTTGCAGTTTCTCAAGTCGCTCCTGACACGATAAAAAAACCCTGTCTATTACAAGAATCAATCAGGGCTATCTAACATCTCCCAACCAAGGATCCCCCTAGGGAGCAATCAGCCAGGTTTTGAAGCTGCATGGCCATTAAATACTAATCAAGGTGGCCAATTGCAACATTCACACTTGCGTCAAGCAGACAAGAGTTCTTTCTCCCACCCTGGACATCATTCCACAGATATAGAAACCCCACTTGCCTAGTTTCCAACAGACCCTAAAACTCTGAGGATGCCTGGTGTAGATGTAGGCAAAACATCAAGAGAGAATGCTTCTGGAACATGGCCATACAGCCCGGAAAACTCAAAGAAACACTGAGGTGCTGCCATTGGTGTAGTCACAATTTCCACCTCCGACTTACCCCAGATAAAGCACCCTTGATTGAACGATGAACCGGAAGAGATATTTCAATGCTTTTAGAGCAGCAAAGAGTAATTCTGTCTTGCTGGAATCATCCGCATTTCCAACATAATAGTTCAGAACCTTGGTGAGTTTTCTGAGAGGAGAGAAGAAAAACAACATGTGTACAATGTTCCCTCACTTATCGCGAATGTTATCTTCCAAGACCACCCATGAAAAATGAAAATCCGCAAAGTAGGGATGCTATACATGTATATCGCATTCCAAGGGTGAGACAGAAGCAAGGAGAGAGTTTAAGGCATCTGTTGCACTCTACTACAGGAATAACCCTCTGACTTTAAAACACAACTCATTGAATATGGAAAACAATCCTTTTACTGAAGATAAGTAAAACCAGCAAAGTAAAAAAAGCACTTTAAAGGAATAGGTAGATCCAGTTAGGTAAGAAGATAAGCAGGAACAAAATTAGTCCAAGGTAGAGTTCAGCAATGTCCAAAAACAAAGTCCAGACTACACAGAGAAGCCATTGAAATCCACAAGAAGCATGTGGACAATTTCAACAGAAAGGAAGAAACCATGAAAATGAACAAAATCTGGCTACCAGTATTAAAAAATCTCTAAAATTACAACAGCACAACAACAGAGAGGAAACAAACAAGGACATCTCATCACCTCCCAACAAAAGTTTGCTCCAGGCACTTCCAGGCTATCAAATGCTAATCAAGGTGGTCAGTTGAAACATTCACACCTAGCTCCAGCAGACAAGAGTCCTTTGTCCCACCCTGGTCATTCCACAGATATATAAACCCTTTTTCCTAGTTCCAACAGACCTCACTACCTCTGAGGATGCTTGCCATAGATGCAGGCGAAACGTCAGGAGAGAATGCCTCTAGACCATGGCCATATAGCCCGAAAAAACTTACAACAACTCATTAAGTCTTACTGTGTCTGACTCTGGGGGTTGGTGCTCATCTCCATTTCTAAGCGAAGAGCCGGCATTGTCCGTAGACACCTCCAAGACCACGTGGCTGGCATGACTGCACGGAGTGCCGTAACCTTCCCACCAGAACGATACCTATTGATCTACTCACATTTGCATATTTTCGAACTGTTAGGTTGGCAGAAGCTGGAGCTAACAGCGGGAGCTCATGCAGCTCCCTGCTTTCGAATCTGCGACCTTTCAGTCAGCAAGTTCAGCAGCTCAGCGCTTTAACCCACTGTGCCACCGGGGGCTCCATTTATAGCAGTGTAGACTCATATAATCCAGTTCAAAGCACATAATCTGGATTATCTGCTTTGATAATCTGGATTATATGGCAGTGCAGACAGGGCGTACAATGAGTATGTGAAATTCCCCTGACTCTGATGCCATAACATTGGTCTGCAAACAGTCAAGCTGAGTGTGTGGGCTTCTTCTGAGGCTGCCGTTGGCTTGTTTTGCTGGCAGCCTGACCCAAATTGAAACTCCTTGGCATTCAGTCCTTTCATCTGGGTGGCATTACGTAAATGTCACACAGCAATGTCACAGAGCTGGCAAAGGAAAGCGTAGCTGAAGTTGGTCCAGCGTGTAAATCAAAGCAAGGAGGGGACATTTCATTTATCAAGCAGAGCAGGACTTCAATTATGGGTTTTCTGCAATGCAGTAACAACAGGGTATTAGGCTTAGCGCTTGGGGGGGGAGCCTGGAGCAGAGTGGAGATACATATGTCAGGCTTTACTACAACTGCGAAATCAATCAACTCAAGCTAGGCAAAAATAGTGGCTCAAATGGGAGGTATGTTTTAAGAATTAAGGTGCAACATCAGGAGAGGTTGTTGTTGTTGTGTGCCTTCAAGTTGTTTCTGACCTATGATGATTCTATAGTAGGTATGGGCAAACCCAGACCAGGGTCTGGATGCAGCCCCTTGGGCTCTTTTCTCAGGCCCTCCTCTCTCTCATCATTCTTTCTTCTCTTTCCTTCCTCCTTCCCTCACTCTTTCTTCTTCCTATCCATCCTATCATCCTTCCTTTCTTTCCTCTTTCTCCTTCTTTCCTTCCCTTTTGTCTTTCCTACCTTCTCTTTTTCCTCCCTCCCTCTCCCTCCTCCATTATCTTCCCCCCTTTCATCCTTCCTTCCTTCTCCCTTTCCTTCCACCCCTTCATCCTTTCCCCCTTTCTTCTTTTGTCCTTCCTTCCTTCCTTCCCTCCACCTTACCTCTCTCCCTTCCTCTCCTCTTCTCCTTCCACCCTTTCCTTCCTTCCTTCCTTCCTCCTTCCTTCCCTTCCTTCCTTCCTTCCTTCCCTCCCTCCCTCCCTCCCCTCCTCCCTCCCTCCCCTCCTTCCTTCCTTCCTTCCTTCCTTCCCTCCTTCCTTTCTCCCTCCCTCCCTCCCTCCCTCCGTCCTTCCTTCCTTCCTTCCTTCCTCCCTTCCTCCTCCTTCCTCCTCCCTCCTCCTCCCTCCCTCTTCCTCCTTTCCTTCCTTCCTCCTTCCTCTTTCCTCCCTCCCTTCCCTCTTTCTCCCTCTCTCCATTCTCTTACACCCTTTCATCCTTCCTTCCTTCTCTCTTTCCTTCCTCCTCACTTTCTCCTTCCTTCCCTTTTGTCTTTCCTCCCACCTTCCTCTCTTCCTTCCCTCCTCTTCCTTCCACCCTTTCATCTTCTTCTTCCCTTTCCTCCTCTTTCTCTTTCCTTCCTTCTCTTTCCCTCCTCCCTCCTCTTCCCTTCTCCTCCTTTCCTTCTATCCTTCCCTTCCATCCTTTTGTCCTTCTCTCCTTCCTTCCCCTTGTCTTTCCTTCCTTCTATTTCCTTCCTTCCTCTCTCCTTCCCTCCCTCTTTCTCCTTCCTTTCCTTTGGTCTTTCCTTTCTCTCTTTTCCTTTTCCTTCCCTTCCTTCCATCCTTCCTTTCCACCCTTCCTTCCCTCTTCCTTTTGCTTTTCCTTTTCCTTCTCTCTTTCTCCCCCTTCCCCTCTCTCCCTATTTCTCCTTCCACCCTTCCCTTCCTCCCATTCATTCTTCCTTCCTTCTCTCTTTCTTCCTCCTTTCCTTCCTCCTTTCCTTCCATCACCAGGAAGCCAGTCCTCCCAGCAGGGAGTGCTACCCTGTGGCCTCCAGGTTCAATGCAAGATACTCCACTTTGGCAGGAAAAACGAAATGCAAAGATACAAAATGGGGGATGCCTAGCTCGAGAGCAGTACGTGTGAAAAAGATCTTGGAGTCCTCGTGGACAACAAGTTAAACATGAGCCAACAATGTGATGTGGCGGCAAAAAAAGCCAATGGGGTTTTGGCCTGCATCAATAGGAGCCTAGTGTCTAGATCTAGGGAAGTCATGCTCCCCATGCTCGATTCTGCTTTGGTTAGACCACATCTGGAATATTGTGTCCAATTCTGGGCACCACAATTCAAGAGAGATATTGACAAGATGGAATGTGTCCAGAGGAGGGTGACTAAAATGATCAAGGGTCTGGAGAACAAGCCTTTAAGGAGCTGGGCATGTTTAGCCTGAAGAAGAGAAGGCTGAGAGGAGATAGGATAGCCATGTATAAATATGTGAGAGGAAGCCACAGGGAGGAGGGAGCTAGCTTGTTTTCTGCTTCCTTGGAGGCTAGGGCGCGGAACAATGGCTTCAAACTACAAGAGAGGAGATTCCATCTGAACATGAGGAAGAACTTCCTGACTGTGAGAGCCGTTCAGCAGTGGAACTCTCTGCCCTGGAGTGTGCTGGAGGCTCCTTCTTTGGAAGCTTTTAAACAGAGGCTGGATGGCCATCTGTCAGGGGTGATTTGAATGCAATATTCCTGCTTCTTGGCAGAATGGGGTTGGACTGGATGGCCCAGGAGGTCTCTTCCAACTCTTTGATTCTATGATTCTGTGATTTTATGATTCAATTAGAGAACAAGGGTTCCCTGCAATCTAAAAGGCAAAAGGTCCCTAAAACCAAAAGTAAAACCCTAAAACTTACTATCTTGGATTTCTACACTTACATCAACCACCTGAAGAAGACTGTATATAGTCGAAACAGGTTGTGGATTCTGAAAAAGGACTGATAAACCGTATGTTGCTGTGAACAAACTTTAGCTAAATACAAACTGACATATTCAGCTTTAGGAATCAACGGTGTACCTACATTAAGAAGTTCTGGATCAAGGAAGTTGTAAAAAGACTTACAAACTTCATGTTGTTATTGATAAATTTGATTCTCAGAAGAACTTTCAAAACAGGTGCACAATTTGCTGTAAGAATTGTTGTGTAATATATATTGTACTAGATGCCAATACATTGAATGTCTTAAGCAAAGATATAATATGCATTATTGCGATTATATAACTGTTTTACTTTTGGTCTTAGGGACCTTTTGCCTTTTTGCCTCCAAGTTCGATGTCATACAATTGCAACCTCACAACCTCTGATGATGCCTGCCATAAATGTGGGTGAAACGTCAGGAGAGAATGCTTCTGGAGCATGGCCATACAGCCTGGAAAACTCACAACCCATTGCAAGTTCCATCATTCCTTACCCCTGCCAATGCTGCTTTGGACAGGGAGTAGTCTAGTTCAACACATTTCCGTCATCACCAATTTTGTTAGTCCTTTGTGGTACAAACACAACAGCAACAACAACAAAACGTTACTTACAAATAAGCCAATGTGGCACTAAAGTGCTTGTAAATATACGTTTCCAGTACAGGATTGAAATGCTGAAACTTGATATCTCCAATCAGGGAAATAATAAATACCTATTAAAAGAAAGAGACGGAAGACATTCAGTGCCATGGCCTTTGACAAGAAGGGTTTGGCAAAATGATTTACAGTTTTGTTCCATACTGAGTTTTTATGGCTAAAGTGGAATCAACGACTGATTTTATTTGGGAAGTGCTTTGGCTCTCAAGTGTCGCCAGGACACACCAGGCCAAAGTTACAGGATTTCTCATTAGCAGGGATAATTAAGTCGTCTTCCATCCGCCTTTGGCTTTCCTTCTCTCTCTCTGTTTAGTTGCATCCTCAGAATAGCTAGATCAGTGTTTCTCAACCGGGGGGTCGGGACCCCTGGAGGGGTCATGAAGGTGTGTCAGAGGGGTCACTAAAGGCCACCAGAAAACACAGTATTTTCTGTTGGTCATGGGGGTTCTATGTGGGAAGTTTGGCCCAATTCTGTCATTGCTGAGGTTCAGAATGCTGTTTGATTGTAGGTGAACTATAAATCCCAGCAACTACAACTCTCAAAATGTCAAAATGTATCTCGGCCTATCAGCCCACCAGGACCCTAAGATCTTCAGGGGAGGCCCTTCTCTCTATCCCACCTGCTTCACAGGTGCGGCTCGTGGGAACGAGAGATAGGGCCTTTTCTGTGGTAGCCCCCCGGCTTTGGAATGCCCTCCCMGTAGAGATAAGATCTGCCTCTTCATTGATGGRATTTAGAAAAAAAATTAAAAACWTGGATGTTTCAACAAGCATTTGGTTYATTTAATGCAATGAAGTTAATGATCAAGGATRGGCAATCARGGACGATGAGATTGGATTATGTTRTTCAGTTAAGAGATGCTTCGATTGTYTTGGTGGCCCAATACTGTTTATGGTATATGTTTTTTATGWTTTTATGCTTTTTAAATTGTATATTGTTGCTCATTTTAGTGTTGTAAACCGCGTTGAGTCGCCATTGTAGGCTGAGAAACGGCGGTATACAAGAGTAGTAAATAAATAAATAAATAAATAAAAGGACCATTTTCCCCAAAATCCACCGGTGTTCACATTTGGGCACATTGCATATTCGTGCCACGTTTGGTCCAGATCCATCATCGTTTGAGTCCACAGTGCTCTCTGGATGTAGGCAAAGTACAACTCCAAAACTCAAGGTCAATGCCCACCAAACCCTTCCAGGATTTTCTGTTGGCAATGCCTGTTCTGTGTGCCAAGTTTGGTTCAATTCCATCGTTGATAGAGTTCAGAATGCACAAATCCCAGCAACCACAACTCCCAAATGACAAAATCAAGCCATCACAAATCACATTGGGTATTTGTGCCAAATGTGGTCCAGTGAATGAAAATACATCCTGCATATGAGATATTTACATTACAATTCATAACAGTAGCAAAATGACAATTATCAAGTAGGAAGGAAAATAATTTTATGGTTGGAGGTCACCACAACACAAGGAATTGTATTAAGGGGTCGCAGCATGAGGAAGGTTGAGAACCCCTGAGCTAGATGATGGTGGCAACAATGTTCTCAGAAATGTGTTTTTCTAAGTTATCTTTGCAGAAAAGCAAAATCATTCCGCTATGGTCTGGTCTCAGACCTCTTCACTTTAAACATGCCTGTTCTGGAAAGTCTGTAAATTGCTAAGACTGGATTATCCATAGGTAAAGGGTCCTCCGACATGAAGTCTAGTCATGTCTGACTCTGGGTGTTGGTGCTCATCTTCATTTCTAAGCTGAAGACCCGGCGTTGTCCGTAGACACCTCCAAGATCTCGTGGCCATCCTGACTTCATGGAGCACCATTACCATCTTGCCAAGGCGGTGCTTATTGATCTATTCACATTTGCATGTTTTTGAACTGCTAGGTTGGCAGAAGCTGGGGCTAACAGCAGGAGCTCACCCCAGTCTTCGTATTCAAACCACCAATCTTTCAGTCTGCAAATTCAGCAGCTCAGTGGTTTAACCCACCATGTTACCAGAGAGCTCTTGGATTATCCATACTCCTCCATTTTCTAACCAACTGCATCTTGATTGGATCAGAGTGAGCTTCTGGGCATTACTCTAGCTTGCTGACAAACTTTGCAGCCCGAAAGACAGTTGCATATGTCAAGTAGGAAATTTAGGCATTGCTCTATGCAGAGAGGCTAATTTAGCTAATTTATGACACCATAAAACCTTCCAGCAATGTGCAGTACTCCATCAAAGGACTCGGTGTCAAAAATGGGAAGTGAAGCTCCCCCTATGGATGGAAGCGAGTATACCCTCACGGAGCTGGAAAAGCTGTAATGTTAAATTGCCTCTGTGTCTGTCTGTATTTGTTGTATGTCTAATTGGCATTGAATGTTTTCCATGTATATGTGGAAAACATTCAATGCCAATTAGACATACAACATACAATTTTCCATGTATATGTGCATCCGCCGGGAAGTAGCAGCCAATAGTGAAAGGACCAAGGCAGAGACATCTCCAGCTCATCCCCTGTTTGGGTATCAGCCAGCACGTCAACGACTTAAATCAAGACATAGTTTTCTTAGATCTACAGAGACACTCGCTGGAACACCCCAGCAAGCGAGAGTCCAAAAGTGGCAGGCCCAAACCCAGCACCTCAATCCATGGGTGATACCAGATGAGAGACTCCCCCCTGGGCACTCAGAAGACTGGGCGACTTGGAAGGCGCTGAACAGACTGCGCTCTGGCACCACGAGATGCAGAGCCAATCTTAAGATATGGGTCTACAAAGTGGAATCCTCGGCATGCGAGTGCGGAGAAGAGCAAACCACTGACCACCTGCTGCAATGCAACTTGAGCCCTGCCACATGCACAATGGAGAACCTTCTTGTGGCAACACCAGAGGAACTCCAAGTGGCCAGATACTGGTCAAAGGGCATTTAACCAACTACCAAGTTTGCAAAATCTGTGTTTTTTTTTAATCTGTTTGTTTGTTTTATTCTGTTAGAATTGTAACACAATGGTATGGTTGCTGACGACACGATGACACGACACATGTATATGTGCACTGTAATCTGCCCTGAGTCCCCTGCAGGATGAGAAGGCTGAATACAAATACTATAAATAAATAAATACTTACCAGTGCATCAAAGACAAGGAAATCATAGGATTCGTTGTCAGACATTTCCATCATTATGCTGAAAAGTGCATCCAGTGTATCTTGCAAGAACTAGAGATGGAACACAGAGATTGTGACACCGAAGAGATAGAAATTAAGGATATTTTCCTGCAACACTCTAGATCCCAACTTATGCTCTGTCCAGCTGTGTGTAAACAACCACAAGAGCATCAGTATTATAGCTTAAGGTATGTCATTATTCTGGAGGGGGGGAAAAAAGCTCAGAGGTTGGAGTGAGCTTCCAGCCATTAGTCTAGCTGGCTGTTGACCTTTGCAGTCCGAAAGATAGTTCTTGGGAATTCACCAAGAAGGTCCAAGAAGGTCCACATTCCTGCTGAGGGAACTAACCTTTTCAGTTAGCCTAGAAAGGCAAGGGATGATGTCAACGGAGACTTTTGTTAATCCCTGCACTTAGTTCCATGCAAAAGCCAGAAACAGAACCAAACACATGGAAGAAACCACTTCCTATAAAGGGGGTGGAATTGGATGTTCCTTCTCCTTGGCAAGAATGGACCTTTGTGTTATCTTCCCAACGCAGCATTCTCTGTCAGCAAAGATGGGGCCATTCAGGAATGGGACCAATCCAAGTCTATACTTGTGTTTGGATGGAAACACTGGCAAAGAAACGTAATTTCACTAGGAGGACCCTCCTAGTGAAAGAGGCTCTTGCAGATGTAAACCTTCCCAAGTTACAGTGCTTGGTGAAGGTGGAAAGATTCACTCAAGTAGCAGCTCTGCAAATCTATTCCAAGTGCATGTTGGTTGAAAATGTCACTAAAATGGCAACATATCAGGTTGAATGTGCGGCAACTCCCTGAAGCTTCAGAAGCTGGAGTAGTTTGTAAGTCATGTTGTGATCACAGAGCCTGAGTCTTTTCTCCAGACCAAAGTTGGTAGAAACCAACCTCCTGAACTTAAAATGTTTTGAACAAAAAAACAGTAATGGCAGGCAAAGTGCACTCCAAAATAGTTGCAAACCATACCTTGACAATTTCTCCTCCTTCTACCTCCATGAGCTTCTTCAGATTGTGGCCAATGTTCTGGGAATTTGAGCGCCAGTTCAGCAAACCCAGCAGGTCAACTAACAATATGACAAAGCAACAAAGATAAGAGTCACAAAGATGATTTACTGCAGTAGCTGCAGAACAATACCAAGAGGGACTGTTCTGTTGCGCGCTGGGCCTGTAAAGAATTTCCTTTAGAACAGGACGTGCAACCTTTGCCCAGCGGGAAGCCAGGGGGCCCAAGGAGAAGTTCTCAGAGGTTTTCCACCACAAATGATCTTTAGATGGCTTGTGAAGTATAATGAACAATCAAACAGAAACTTCTCTTGTCTTCAATAAAGTTAAACAAATGCTTCCAGGCTTTTATGCAACTGGTGGCTTCCTAAACTTGCTCACGAAGGACAGGCAACTGTCTTCAATAACTTCTTCTTTACTTTAAAGGGAAATCCCCGTTTTAACTTCTCCCAGGCTGACTGTAATCTAACCCTTACTGATGTGGGCTCCGCTACCGGGTCGAACTGCGTCTCGAAGCACCGAGTGAACCTACCAGTAAAGGCTTAGATGTTCTCCAGCTGGAGTTCTTTGGTCTTTAGGGCTGTTTCCCTGGATATCTTTGGAGACGCTTAAGACTCCTTCCCCCTGGAAAGTCTTGGATGCTCTTAAGACTGTTCTCACCCGGAAAGTCTTAAGGGTTGAAGCTTTTGTACAGGGGAAGCTTGTACACGTCCTGTACATTAGCTTTCCTTGCTGAGACTAACTAAAAAATGGCTCCATTCCCTTCCCAATTGCCCTGAGCAAGGAGTGGGACCAAAACGTAATGATGGTGGACAGGTGACTTGCCCTATGACTGCAACCAAAGGAAGCCACCTATCTGCAGAGTCCCTGAAACCTTGGACTGCAAGCAAACATTTAATGCAAAGCAAATAAAATTGGAGCTCCTGGTACAGCCGTACCAGAACAGGGACACAAGGTTTATTTCTGGCCTCCATTCATACAAAGAGGCTGGGGCCTGTCAAAACTGCCCAAAATATATGTCTGCACCTTTGCTGCTATGATTAATTCAAATAGGCAATGCCAGAGAAAGCCTTAGAAGCCTGGAGGACAGAGCAGACTTCCTATAGATCAGAGAAAAGGGTTTGGATCAGTGTTTCTCAGCCTTCCTAATAGCACGACCCCTGAACACAGTTCCTCATGTTGTGGTGACCCCCAACCATAACATTCTTTTCGTTGCTACTTCATAACTGTAATTTTGCTATTGTTATGAATCGTAATGTAAATATCTGACATCCAGGATGTATTTTCATTCACTGGACTAAATTTGGCACAAATACCCAATATGCCCAAATTTGAAAACTGGTAAGGTTGGGGGAGAGATTGATTTTGTCATTTGGGAGTTGTAGTTGCTGGGATTTCTAGTTCACCTACAATCAAAGAGCATTTTGAACTCCACCAATGATGGAATTGAACCTATCTTGGCACACAGAACTCCCACGACCAAGAGAAAATAGTAGAAGGGTTTGGTGGGCATTGACCTTGAGTTTTGGAGTTGTAGTTCACCTACATCCAGTAAGCACTGTGGACTCAAACAATGATGGATATGGACCAAACTTGACACAATTACTCAATATGCCCAAAAGTGAACACTGATGGATTTTGGAGAAAATAGACCTTGACATTTGGGAGTTGTCGTTGCTGGGATTTATAGTTCACCTACAATCAAAGAGCATTTTGAACTCCACCAATGATGAAATTGAACCAAGCTTGGCACATAGGATTCCCATGACCAACAGAAAATAGTGGAAGGGTTTGGTGGGCATTGACCTTGAGTTTTGGAGTTGTAGTTCACCTACACCCAGAGAGCAATGTGGACTCAAACAATGATGGATATGGACCAAACTTGGCACAATTACTCAATATGCCCAAAAGTGAACGCTGATGGAATTTGGGGGAAACAGAGCTTGACATTTTGGAGTTGTCGTTGCTGGGATTTATAGTTCACCTACAATCAAAGAGCATTCTGAATCCCTCCAATGATAGAATTGGGCCAAACTTCCCACACAGAAGCTCCATGACCAACAGAAAATACTGTGTTTTCTGATGGTCTTTGGCCACTCCTCTGACACCCCCCCTCGTGACCACTAGGTTGAGAAATGCTGGTTTAGATGGTGTCTGGTGTAATCCTTCTCCTTTACTGAGAAATGAAGTTAACTTATGAAGGATAAGCAAAGGCATAGGCAAGGACAGTCTTAACATGCACATGATATTCCAGTTAGACCACTTAGGATGCCTGCATTCAGCTTGTTTGCATTTATTCAGGTTTACCAACTTACCATTTTGTGTCAGCTTTGTAGAACAGATGAGGGTTGCAATCTGGAAACTATCCTTAGTACTTTCTTTGGATGCAGTAATGTTAGTCGCTGGATGTTTGGCGAGCAGACCATCCCTGTCCTCCATTTCCACTTTGGTGCTAGGAAGTGTCAAATAAAACTTGGCATCTTCCATTTTCTTGTTCTCACCCTATTGATATAAAGAAAAACAAAAAAAGAAGGAGATGAGAATTTGATATTGCTATAATGAGCCTTTCCCAACTTAATGCCTTCCAGATATGTTGGAGCACACTGTGCATCATAGTTGGGTAAAGCAAAGGTAAAGGTTTCCCCTTGACATTAAATCCAGTCGTGTCCGACTCTGGGGGTTGGTGCTCATCTCCATTTCTAAGCCGAAGAACCGGCATTGACCGTAGACACCTCCAAGGTCATGTGGCCAGCATGACTCAATGGAGCGCTGATACCTTCCTGCTGGAGTGGTACCTATTGATCTACTCAAATTTGCATGTTTTTGAACTGCTAGGTTGGCAGAAGCTGGAGTTAATGACAGGAGCTCACCCCACTCCATAGATTCAAACCACCAACCTTTCGGTCAGCAAGTTCTGCAACTCAGTGGTTTAACCCACTGCACCACCACCCCTACCCCCAATAGTTGGGTATGATGTCCAAAACATATGAAGCATATCAGGTTGGGATATATCTACTTATAGGAACAACTAGTTCTGATTTAACGGTTTCTTCCAATGCTGTTATGGATCCAATCTTAGAGTTACAGATCATCATCTGCTCAGTATTTCTACCTACTCATTGAGGACTGGAGACTTGTGCAGTCAGGGATGAAACCCAACAATTCCATAATGCTATGTATGTAAGTCATATTTGTCACTAGCTACATAGCTATCTATAAGTACAATGTAAACACATTAATGTCCTGTTGCTATAAACTTCAGCAAATGTATCAATTCAATTAAACATGAGAATACTCAATTAATCCATATAGTATACAAGCATAGGGAACTAATGCAATGGGACTATTTACAATGGTATAAAAAACATAATATTCGTGTTTTCCAAATGATTAGTTGGATTGTTTAGCCTGAAGAAGAGAAGGCTGAGAGGAGATATGATAGCCATGTATAAATATGTGAGAGGAAGCCACAGGGAGGAGGGAGCAAGCTTGTTTTCTGCTTCCTTGGAGACTAGGACGCAATGGAACAATGGCTTCAAACTACAAGAGAGGAGATTCCATCTGAACATGAGGAAGAACTTCCTGACTGTGAGAGCTGTTCAGCAGTGGAACTCTCTGCCCCAGAGTGTGGTGGAGGCTCCTTCTTTGGAAGCTTTTAAACAGGAGCTGGATGGCCATCTGTCAGGGGTGATTTGAATGCAATATTCCTGCTTCTTGGCAGAATGGGGTTGGACTGGATGGCCCATGAGGTCTCTTCCAACTCTTTGATTCTATGATTCTATGACTGAAGAAACCTTGAAAGAAACCTGAAGAAGGGATACTCCTCCCGAAACAAGGACGATAAATACCCAGGAATCCTTGTAGTATTCCCAAGTCTTTTTATCTCATCTCGAACTCACATGGGACTATTTTGGATATGTTAAAGTTTGTCCACATGGCTTTTGGAAGATCCGACTAATCATTTGGAAAACATAAACATTATGTTTGTTATACCACTGTAAATAGCTGGAATGATTCCATCAGCGCTGTCTCCGAAAAAATCCTGCAAAGTGGACAAATGTCAGCGTGCTGGAAGAAGCAAAGACCACCAGCACTGAAGCGATGGTCCTCCGCCATCAACTCCGCTGGACTGGCCGCATTGTCCGGATGCCCGACTACGGTCCCCCAAAGCACTTGCTCTACTCTGAACTCAAAAACGGAAAACAGAATGTCGATGGGCAGGAAAAGAAATTTAAAGATGGACTCAAAGCCAACCTTAAAAACTCTGGCGGCAAGAAAAGCCAATGGGATTTTGGCCTGCATCAATAGGAGAATAGTATCTAGATCTAGGGAAGTTATGCTACCCCTCTATTCTGCTTTGGTGAGACCACATCTGGAATGTTGTATCCACTTCTGGGCACCACAATTCAAGAACAATATAGACAAGCTGGAATGTGTCCAGAGGAGGGCGACTCAAATGATCAAGGGTCTGGAGAACAAGCCCTATGAGGAGTGGCTTAAGGAGCTGGGCATGTTTAGCCTGAAGACGAGAAGTTTGAGAGGAGATATGATAGCCATGTATAAATATGTGAAAGGAAGCCACAGGGAGGAGGGAGCAAGCTTGTTTTCTGCTTCCTTGGCGACTAGGACACGGAACAATGGCTTGAAACTACAAGAAAGGAGATTCCATCTGAACATGAGGAAGAACTTCCTGAATGTGAGAGCCGTTCAGCAGTGGAACTCTCTGCCCCGGAGTGTGGTGGAGGCTTCTTCTTTGGAAGCTTTTAAACAGAGGCTGGATGGCCATCTGTCAGGGGTGATTTGAATGCAATATTCCTGCTTCTTGGCAGAATGGGGTTGGACTGGATGGCCCGTGAGGTCTCTTCCAACTCTTTGATTCTATGATTCTTTGGCATAGACACTGAGAACTGAGAAGCCCTGGCCCTTGAGTGCTCCAGCTGGAGTTCAGCTGTGACCAGCAGTGCTGCAGAATTTGAACAGGCACGAATGGAGGGCGAAAGAGAGAAACGTGCCAAGAGGAAGGCGCATCAAGCCAACCCCGACCAGGACCGCCTTCCACCTGGAAACCAATGCCCTCACTGTGGGAGAAGATGTGGATCAATAATAGGGCTCCACAGTCACCTACGGACCCACCACCAGCATATCGACCTTAGAGGACCATCATCCCCGGACTACGAGGGATCGCCTAAGTAAGTAAGTAAATAGTCTCATCGCATTTGTTCCCTATGCTTGTGTACTATATGAATTAATTGAGTATTCTCATGTTTAATTGAATTGATACTTTTGCTGAAGTTTATAGCAACAGGACATTTGTGTATTTACATTGCAGTTCCTTATCACACTGAGTCAGCGGATGGGAAAGGCCCAAAAATGTCACCCCATCGTGCTCCTACTGCAAGTGAAACAGGTTTTGCTGCTGAGTGTTAAGCTGGGTCTGAGGGTGGTGTGTCTTGGGGATCTTGGCTGAGATCACAAAGAAGCCCTTGCCCACTGATTAGGAAGTACCTTGTAGACTATTAAATGATGCTTGCCGTCCCGCAGAGTGGTGCCATCTGCATTCATCAGCTTCACAAATGACATTCCAAAAGCCTTTTCAGATTTATCTCTTGCTGTCAGAGTGGGAAAGAAGAGGAGGGTGAAAGGAGAAAAAGGGACTGCTTGCTGCCTTTTTTTGCAACTGAATTATCACACAGCATGTAACAACAAGGTCATTTTTTTTAATGTTAATCTCCAGTCATCACACACACTCACACAACTAACCACAGCACTAATAAAAAAAAATTTCATGTCAGGAACGACTTGAGAAACTGCAAGTTGCATTTGGTGTGAGAAAATTGGCCATCTGTAAGAAGGTTGCTCAGGGGACGCCCGGATGTTTTCCTAGACAACACAGCCGGACTAGATCCCTTCCAGTCCGGCTTCCGTGCGGGGCACGGGACAGAGACTGTGCTGATCTCCATCACGGATCGCCTTCGATGCCATCTTGACCAGGGCGGGTCAGCGCTGCTTGTGTTATTGGATATCACAGCAGCATTTGACACAGTCGACCACAATCTTTTGACCACCGCCTTGCTGCTGTTGGAGTCAGGGGGACACCTTTAAATTGGCTGTCCTCCTTTCTTCACAACCGTGGACAGCGAGTGGAGAGGGGAGGCCTGGTCTCTGAGAGGTCCCCTCTCTTTATCTTGTGGGGTTCCTCAGCGGGCCATTCTCTCCCCTCTGTTGTTTAACATCTATATGTGACCACTTGCTCAGCTGGTTCGAGGTTTTGGGCTTGAGTGTTACCAGTACGCCGATGACACTCAGCTGGTGCTGAAGATAGAAGGCCAACCGGACTCTGTACCCGATTGTTTCCATCAGTGCCTCGAGGCTGTGACTGGATGGCTGCGTGCCAGCAGGTTGAGGGTGAATCCAGCAAAGACGGGCAGTGGGGATATCCAGCTGCCTACCCTGGATGGCGAGGCACTACGCCCATCATCATTGGTAAAGAGTCTGGGAGTCCTTTTGGACCCTCTGCTGACGATGGAGGCCCAGGTCTCCGTCGTGAGCAGAACTGCCTTTTTTCACCTGCGGCAGGCTAGACGGCTGGCCCCCTCCCTGTCCAGGGACGACCTGGCTACGGTGATCCAGGCCACGGTCATCTCAAGACTGGACTACTGTAACGCCCTCTACATTGGCGTTCCTCTGTCGGTGGTACAAAATGCAGCTGCTCGGCTTCTTGCGGGAATTCCGATGAGATGCCACATCACCCCAATCTTACTACAGCTGCATTGGTTACCAATTGAGCACCGGATCACTTTCAAAGTGATGGTACTCCCCTTGAAGGCCTTGCATGGTCTGGGCCGATGTACCTGAGGGACCGCCTCACCCCCTCCCAACCCCAGAGATCCCTTTGTTCTAAGGACCAAGATCTATTGGGAATTCCCAGTGCCAAGACCTTGCGTCTAACAGCAACCAGATGCAGAGCCTTCACAGCAGTGGCACCATCACTCTGGAACACTCTGCCACCTGAAGTCCGTGCCTTGCGGGTCTTATCAGCTTTCTGCAGGGCATGTAAGACATATCTGTTTCGACGGGCCTTTGATCTTTGATTGCTGTTTTTAAATTGTTTGTAAATTGTGTTCAATTTTAGTCTGTTCTTGTAAGCCGCTCTGAGCCCCAGGGGAGTGGCGGCATATACGTTCAAATAATAAATAAACAAATAAATAAATAAATAAATAAATCTTGTGGGAGGCTTCTCTCATGTCCCCGCATGGGAAGCTGGAGTTGACAGATGGGAGCTCACCCACTCCCTGGATTCGAACCACCGACCTTCACGTCTTTCAGGTCTGCAGTTCTGCCGGCACAAGGGTTCAACCCATTGTGCCAATTGGGAGCTCCAGCACTAGTAATACAAAAGGCTAACAGATAGGGAAGACTGCTGTTCGTCATATTCCATTCCATTCACTTCTATATTTATCCAAATATCGAGAACAGGAGCTGTCCTTCTTTGCAGTACTTACATTCCTGTGACGATCGATGGCGGAAAGTAAATCTTAAGTGGTAGTGTCCAACTTCTTTTATTTCAATGGACACCTGTATGCAATAAAACAATGTGTAAAAATTACGTGGAAGCCATAAGCAATGTTAGAAGATGTTCAGAGGAAACCCAAGTAAAGAATTATACATATACGTTGCACTCCAGGACAGGAAAAGCCCTCTGACTGTTGACTGGAAAACAATCCTTTTTATTGGCAATAATTAACAAGCAGCAAGTAAAAAACACTCTAAAGATATAGGTAAATCCAATTAGGTAAGAAGATAAGCAGGAGCAAAAATAGTCCAGGGTACAATTCAGCAAAGTCCATAAAACAAAGTCCACACTTCTCTAAATATAATTCAGGAAAACAGGAAACATTAATCCAAGCTATGAGTATGCATTAATACAATCCAAGAATCCAAACCATGAAACAAGACAATACTTAGACAAGAATCTTCCAAGCAAAGCTTCCATGAAACACGGGCACAAACTACACTTGATTCCAATGATGCTTCATCTGACTATTTTTCCCATACTTGGAACTTTTATCCCCTCGTTAAGCTATTCCACGCACTCAGGAATTGCTTTTGCTTTACTTGAGATGCCCTTATCTTTTTCTCTCGAAGCCTGGCAGAACGCCAAAGGCACTGTTCAGCCTGTCTGTTTTGACTAATTTCCTCTCACCTATCTATTTGCTCATTAAGTCTCACAGCTGGGCCAGGTGCCCAGTTGTTTTCAAGCCACAAATCCTGGGAACTCTCAGGGAGTACACTATCATCCACACACCCTTCAGGGACGTTCTAATAGGAAACTACACTTTGCACAGGGGTCTCCTGGTCCTTCTCTGCATCGGTATCATTGACTAGACCACTGCCATCTTGAAATTCATTGGCATCACTTCCCACATCCAAAGCACCCTAATCCTGAAACACAATCACAGGCTGAACTCCAATAATATAGATCAAGTATGGGCAAACTTTCTAACTTGTGCGCCAGCTGCGCCCGTACCTTGGGAAGTCTGATTTGGGCATGGTGGTCCACGCTCTGGTTACATCCCGTATAGACTACTGCAACGCTCTCTACATGGGGTTGCCTCTGAAGACTGCCCGGAAGCTACAAATAGTCCAATGAGCGGCAGCCAGACTACTAACAGGAGCGGGATACAGGGAGCATACTACTCCTCTGTTGCATCAGCTCCACTGGCTGCCAATCAGCTTCCGAGCACAATTCAAAGTGCTGGTGTTGACCTATAAATCCCTAAATGGCTCTGGCCCTATTTACCTGTCCAAATGGATTCTCCCCTATGAACCATCAAGGTTGTTAAGATCTTCTGGAGGGGCCCTGCTCTCGGTCCCACCTCTTTCGCAATCACGTGTGGTGGGAACGAGGGACAGGGCCTTCTCTGTGGTGGCCCCTCGGCTCCGGAACTCCCCCCGATGGAGATTAGATCTGCCTCTTCCCTCCTAACTTTTAGAAAGCTGGTAAAATCATGGCTTTGGGATACTGCATTTGCAGAATGGTAATTGAGTCAATAACTGCTGACCTACTGGCGGATGGCGATGAATTTGTGATTTCACTCTGACGAACTGACTTTTTTGTAATTTGTATGAATTGTATATTAATGTATTTTATATTGATGATGTATATTTGCTTTATCTTACTGTATTGAATCCTCTGTTGTTAGCCGGCCCAAGTTCCTCTCCGGAGGTCGAGAAGACTGGGTTATAAAAACTCTGAATAATAATAGTAATAATAACTTGTGGGCCGCATGCTAGAACTCCCTACTAGGACGACTGGCTGCCCAGTGGTGAAAGGAAGGAAGAAGGAAAGAGAGAAGGAAGGACGAAAGGGAGGAAGGGAAAGATGGAAGGAGAAAGAAGGAGAGAGGGAAGGAGGGAGGAAAGAGGGAAGGAAGGAAAGACAAAAGGGAATGCAGGTTGAAAAGGTGGAAGGGAAGGATGAAGGAAGGAAGGGAAGGATAAAGGAAAGAGGGAAGGAAGGGGTTTCCCTTCCTTCCTGTGTAGAATGCTAGGGAGGCTATAAAGATGGACGTTGTGTTGCTCTTGGCTGTGATACAGAACATGTGCTGTTGCTCACAAGAAAGGACACTAAGAACGTGACAGTCTCACCTTTACAGTTTCGTACCAACAAGGCTGCTTGACTTGATAGTAGACAACTGACTTGTATTCTGAGATACCTTCATAACCAGCACCTGGATGGATAGCTTTCTTTGGAAGACATGGAAGGAAAAAGCAGGGAAAGGACCAAAGAACAAATCATGAAAGGTAGTGATCAATCACAAACAAGAGAGAAAACTCATTAGCATTTGATATGATATGCAGAGGTGGACAAAATACTGGCAGTGATCCTACAAATGTTTCTGTTTCCGCCTGGAAATTATTCAGTGTCACTGGGTGGCTCTGGCCATTGGCCATAGTAACTTGGGCCTCTTCTGTTGGAGCATGTAAACATCAGTTGGTGAGTGTGTTCACAGAAAAACGCAAAGCATGAAGCTGATTGGTTGTGCTATGCCTGGGATGCTAGCTGAGCCTGAGAGTTTTGGCAACAGTTACATGTTTAGGTTTTCTGTGCAGAAGTACCTTGGGAAGTCGAATCTGGCCACGGTGGTCCACGCTCTTGTTACATCCTGGATAGATCACTGCAACGCACTCTACGTGGGGTTGCCTTTGAAGACTGTTCGGAAACTTCAATTAGTCTAGCGGGAGGCAGCCAGATTACTCACCGGAGCGTCATACAGGGAGCATACCACCCCCCTGTTGTGTCAGCTCCATTGGCTGCCGATCCAGTTCCGAGCACAATTCAAAGTGCTGGTTTTGACCTACAAAACCCTATACGGTTCCGGCCCAATGTATCTGTCCGAACGCATCTCCCTCGGAGTTTAAGATCTTCCGGGGAGGCCCTGCTCTCGACCCCGCCTCTATCACAAGTGAGATTGGCAGGACGAGGAGCAGGGCCTTCTCGGTGGTGGCCCTCACCTATGGAATTCACTCCCCGGGGAAATTAGATCATTGTCATCCCTCCTTTCCTTTAGAAGGAAATTAAAACATGAATTTGGGACCAGGCAATCTGGCAATCTGGCAGATAAATAAAGGACAACGACAACTGATAGGAATGGAAAATGTGGAATGAAGTTATGGACTCTGAGTTGCGAACGTTGAGCATAAGATTGATTTTTTATTGACTGTGATATATATTGATTGTTTTAAACTGTTATAACTGTTTTAATTGCTGTCTATATTTTATCTGTATTACTGTATAGGCATTGAATTGTGCCTTTTTGTAAGCCGCCCTGAGTCCCCCCTCGGGGGTTGAGAAGGGCGGGGTAGAAGTACATGAAATCTATATATACAGGGTTAGTCAAAATGAATAGGCCAATAATGAATAATGAATAATGAATATTGGCCTATTCATTTTGACTAACCCTGTATAATAAAGAAGAGTGTTTGTATGGGAAGGACAGAGGTGCGGAGGGCGGAAGGTGTATGTGGCAGCTTTCTGATTGGCTGCCGCTGTGGTGCTATTTGCATATGGTCTCTGATTGGCCAGCTTCAATAGGAGCCCCTGGTGGAAAAGAGGGTTCATGGCAGAAACGGGGCATGACAGAAGGAAATTTGCATATGGTCTCTGATTGGCCAGCCTCAAATCCAAGATTCCGAGATGACAGAAAAGGAAAAGGCCAAAAAAGGGCTGGGTCAGAACACTCCCAATACAGACCGAAACTGGCACACAGAGCCCCCATCACCCACTCTACAACCTACTGCAGTTTGGAGGACGATGAACCATGGACGATGGGACTTGCAGTACCACCACTCACATTCTGAGACCGCTGTTAACCTCATCCAATGACTGATCAGGACCAAACTTCGCACAGAGACCTCTCATGACCCACTTTACGTCCTGGTGTGGTTTGGCCGGGGATGGACCGTGGATTATGGGACTTGCAGTACCATTGCTCATTCTTCAGACCACTGCAACCCTCATCCAATTACCAAAAAATACCAAACTTGGCACACTGAGTCTCCATGACGCACTCTACATCCAGGTGCAGTTTGAAGGAGGATGCACCATGGACGATGGGACTTGCAATACCTGCACTCCCTTCCTAAGACCATTACAACTGCCAACGATGATGGATCAGGACCACAATTTACACAGAGAGCCTGCATAACTCACTCTACATCCTGGTGCGGTTTGGAAGAATTTGACAATGGATGATGGGACTTGCAGTCACTTCACTCACTTCCTGAGACCACTGAGACCCTCGCCAATGACTCATCAAGACTAAACTTGGCACATGGAGCTTCAATGACCCACTCTACATCCTGGAGCACTTTGGAGGACGACAGACCATGGATGATGGGACTTCAAGTACCTCCACTACCCAAGACTGCTGCAAAACTCATCTAATGACCAATCAAGACCAGACTTGGCATACAGAGCCCCCATGACCCACTTGACATCCTACTGCAGTTTGGAGGAGGATGAACCATGGATGATGGGAACTTCCAGTACCTTCACTCACATTCTGAGACCTCTGCAAACCTCATCCAATGACGGATCAAGACCAAACTTGGCACATAGACCTCTCATGACCCACTTTACGTCCTGGTGTTGTTTGGAAAACTTTGGAGATGGATGATGGGACTTGCAGTACCTTTGCTCACTTCCTGAGACCACTGAGACCCTCGCCAATGACTAATCAAGACTAAACTTGGCACATGGAGCCCACATGACCCACTCTACATCCTGGTGCACTTTTGAGGAGGACAGACCATGGATGATGGGACTTCAAGTACCTCCACTCCCCAAGACTGCTGCAACCCTCATCTAATGACCAATCAAGACCAAACTTGGCACACAGAGCCCCCATGATCCACTCTACATCCTGCTGCAGTTTGAAAGGGGATGGACTTTGGATGATGGGACTTGCAGTACCTTCACTCACTTACTGACACCACTGCCACCCTCATCTAATGACTGATAAAGACCAAACTTGGCACACAGAGCCCCCATGACCCACTCTATATCCTGCTGCTGTTTGTAGGAGGATGGCCCATGGATGATGGGACTTCAAGTACCTTCACTCACTTCCTGAAAATAATGCAGCCGTTATCCAAAGACCAATAAAGACCAAACTTGGCATACAGAACCGCCATCACCCACTTTCTCTAATAACCCGGGCAACGCCGGGTCCCCAAGCTAGTACATAAATAAATAAGAAGCTTGCCAAGACATATCTTTTCTCTAGCAAGACAGTGTGTGGATTGGTAAAGACATGAACTACGTGCAATTTTCATTCTGCCACATCTTCTACACTGCCAAATAATCCAGATTATCAAAGCTGATAAGCCACATTATCTGCTTTGAACTGGATTATATGAGTGTACACTGAAGAATAATCCAGTTCAAAACAGATAATCTGGATTGTATATGGCAGTGTAGAAGGGGTCTGGAAATCTAAGAGTTGAATGACAAAAAAGCAAATTTGGGTCATCTTCAGTCAAGCTGATTGGTTGTGCTACTCCTTGGGAAGCTAGCTGAGCCTGAGAATTTTGGCAACAGTTACATTTGTAGGTTTTCTGTGCAGGAGCTTGCCAAGACAAGTCAGTGTATATTTTCTGCTTCTGAGCTGCTGGAAGAAGATCTTTCACATGGACACCCAAGGAACATTTGAATTTCTCTGTCAAAGGACATAGTGTGAGTCAATGCAACTGTCCCCATGACTGTATATATGTTACTCTACATAACAAAGGATGAACACCTCATTCTTTACTGAACATCTGTGTGGCATATCTTTTCTCTAGCAAGACAGTGTGTGGATTGGTAAAGACATGAACTACGTGTAATTTTCATTCTGCCACATCTTCTACACTGCTAAATAATCCAGATTATCAAAGCAGATAAACCACATTATCTGCTTTGAACTGGATTATATGAGTGTACACTGAAGAATAATCTAGTTCAAAGCAGATAATCTGGATTGTATATGGCAGTGTAGAAGGAGTTGAATGCCAAAAAAGCAAATTTAGGTCATCTTCAGTCAAGTTGATTGGTTGTGCTACGCCTGGAAGGCTAGCTGAGCCTGGGAGTTTTGGCAACAGTTACATGTTTAGATTTTATGTGCAGGAACTTGCCAAGACAAGTCAGTATATATTTTCTGCTTCTGAGCTGCTGGAAGAAGCTCCTTCACATGGACATCCAAGGAAGATCTGAAGTTCTCTCAAAGGACATAGTGTGAGTCAATGCAACTGTCCCCATGACTGGGATGCTAGCTGAGCCCGGGAGTTTTGGCAACAGTTACATGTTTGGGTGTTCTGTGCAGGAGCTTACTAAGACAAGTGAGTGCATATTTTCTGCTTCTGAGCTGCTGCAAGATCATCTTTAGTCAAGCCTATAAATAGGTGGGAGACAGAAGAAAGTGTTTCCCCCACAGAGTGAAGATTTACTTCTGTCTCTAACCTATACAGTCAAAAGTTCATTGCCTACCTCTAAGAGATTGCCATCTTCATCATGAACAGACATGGTGACCTCTACATTCTTGGGTGTCTTCTTTTTCCCTTTGTCAAACTCTCCGTTCATCAAAGTGATGTAAATATCATTTCGAACCTCACCTGCAACAGTGGAAAAGAGGAGTAATAAATCAGCTCAATCCTCATTCACAATCAGAATGAGGACCATTTGTGACCAAACACCTCACCCAGGACCAGCCCTTCCATTAGTCGCTATCTGCTCGCCCACAGAAAACCATATTCAATAATCTAGAGCTGATGAGGGATTAGTAATCTTTTGTGGGTAGTCAGCCTCTCCCCTCCCGACATCTCCGTTGTCTCGGCACTTTAAGAGGGTTTCACGAGACCAGTCGTGTGGTTTTAAGGTGACGGTGTAGTAATGATGAGGCCATGGACCATTTTATTCTTGGGGACCACTGATGGTCCATGGTCCACAGGTTGGGAACCACCACAATCTGCTCTTTTAATCCCACAACCACTGTGCTGTGTTAGAAGTTGTCTCCACAAAGAAAAAGGTACCCACCGGGCAGAATAATCTCTGGGAATCCCATTTTTCGTGCCACTGCTGTTGATCTGTCAACAAGATGAGAAAAGTCCTTCTGAACCTGGGCTAAATCCCCAGGTAGAAGCTTCAAAGAAACCCAAAGGCCTAAGAGGCAGAAAAACAAAACAAAAAGGGAAGCAACAGTATGAATTCTATTGCAGAAAATAATTATGAATTTGATAAAGAAACTATATAATACCACCCCTCCCCCCGAATCCATGTTTGCAACAGTGTGGAAAAATACTATATGGGGGTCTCGTCTTTCCTTTCTACCATCCTTAACTTTAATACAAAATGGAGCAATAAAGAAATTAATATGTATTTATTAGGCTTGGGTAACCACGGAAAAATTTGTTTCTAAACACGTTTCGTTTTTAAGGGGCCCCTGCGTTTTTTTTTTTAAGAATTCCGAAATTTACCTTTAAAAATTTTTGAAATATACGAAATTTTGTAAAATTACGAATCGATTCGTTAATGGCGGACGCGATTGCGCAATATGCTAAAAAAAACCCTCCAAATGGGACAGGGGGAACTTCTGAAGCTTCCCTCTCCCTCTGTTGTTGACTGTTGGTGTGATAAAACAAACAACAACTATAAAACTTGAAAATAATTACGAAATAATTACAAAATAATTTCGAAATAATAACGAAATAATTACGAAATAAATTGAAAAATTGTTTCGAATCTAATTTACTCCTCACACTATTCCTGCATGGCTCAATATTGAATCGTAAGCTAATTTAAATACGAATTAATAACGAATTACGAAATTAACGAACGAAACCGCCCAAGCCTAGTATCCATCTCCTTAACCTGCAACCCCAATACTGGGGCCCAAAAGCAGCTTTCAAAATTAATGTCCATATAGAGTAAAATACTATATCTAATATGTTTTTTTTGTCGTGTCAGGAGCGACTTGAGAAACTGCAAGTCACTTCTGGTGTGAGAGAATTGGACGTCTGCAAGGACATTGTCCAGGGGACACCCGGATGTTTTGATGTGTTACCATCCTTGTGGGAGGCTTCTCTCATGTCCCCACATGAGGAGTTGGAGCTGATAGAGGGAGCTCACCCGTGCTCTCCCCGGATTCGAACCTTTGACCTGTCGGTCTTCAGTCCTGCCGGCACAGGGGTTTAACCCACTGCGCCACTGGGGGGGCTCCAATAATAATAATAATAATAATAATAATAATAATAGCAAAGACTCTGGTACAAGCCAATAAAGGTGGTCCCAGTGGTGATCGGCACACTGGGTGCAGTGCCTTAAGACCTTGGCCTGCTCTTAAACACAATCGATGCTGACAAAATTACCACTTGCATCTGCAGAAGGCCACCTTACTGGGATCTGCACACATTATTCACCGATACATCACACAGTCCTAGACCCTTGTGTGAGCCAATACAACAGCCAGCAGAGTGTCTACTGTGGACTCATCTTGTTGTGTTTCAAATAATAATCATAATCATAATCATAATCATAATAATGGAAAAGGTTTCCCTCTGACATTAAGTATAGTTGTGTCCAATTCCTGAGGGGGTTGGTGCTCAACTCCATTTCTAAGCTGGAGAGCCAGCATTTTCCTAGACACCTCCAAAGTCATGTGGCCAGCATGACTGCACGGAGCAGTTACCTTCCCATCAAAGCAGTACCTACTGATCTACTCACATTTGAATGTTTTCAAATTGCTAAGTTGGCAGAAGCTGGGGCTAACAGCAGGAGCTCACCCCGCTCCCTGAATTCAAAACTCCGACCTTTTGGTCAGCAAGTACAGCAGCTCAGTGGTTTAACCCACTGTGCTACTTGGGGCTCAATGTCCATATAGTATGGGTAAAAAGATACAAAAGCTAAGTGTTAAAATACAATTCAATTATTAATACCTTCAATGCAAGCTTTGACCTTGACCAATGACCCCATCCTAAGCCATTAATTTGCTTCCTAACCTATGGAGTGTCTCTTTTCCCCAAGCCAATTCAAACTGTATTTCCCACTCGTTGTGGTTTTTCCACAATCATATTTTCTTTTGCTTTGTATACCTTGCCCTTTGTGATTCACTTCCTTGGCAGCGATGACTTTGTTGAAGACAGACGTGAGAGGTTCATTCTCTCCAATCACGTGGGAAGTTATTAAAGGCGCCATGATTAATTGCCGCTGCCTGATGTATGTCTCCATGGCAATCCTGGGGAGAAATAGAACATCTGAAGCTACTTTCCAGTAGGCTTGTTTGATAAAAAATAATTCAAAACTCGTTTCGGATGTAGGGGTTGCTGGTGGTTTGAATCTAAAGTCAATTTCGATTTTCACTTTAAAAAAGTTCAAAACTTTGTGAAACTTCTGAGACTTCTGAATAAGGTTTTCAAAGTGTTATTTCCTGTTTCATTGGGTGGTCTTTACTTTGAAAGTAGTTGTTTTACTCCAGAAAGGGAGGAGGGGGGGAAGCAAAGGGAAGAAATCCATCCACTCTGGTTAAAACCGCTTCTCTAGCTTAAGACTGAAGCGAGAGGGAAAGGAAAGGAAGGGAATCCATCCACACTGGTTTAAACTGATGCAGGAGGGAAAGGAAAGGAAGGGAATCCGTCCACACTGGTTTAAACTGATGCAGGAGGGAAAGGAAAGGAAGGGAATCCATCCACACTGGTTTAAACTGACGCAGGAGGAAAAGGAAAGGAAGGGAATCCATCCACACTGGTTTAAACTGACGCGGGAGGGAAAGGAAAGGAAGGGAATCCATCCACACTGGTTTAAACTGATGCAGGAGGGAAAGGAAAGGAAGGGAATCAATCCACACTGGTGTAAACTGATGCAGGAGGGAAAGGAAAGGGAATCCATCCACACTGGTTAAAACTGCTTCTCTCGCGGGAGGGAAAGGAAAGGAAGGGAATCCATCCACACTGGTTTAAACTGATGCAGGAGGGAAAGGAAAGGAAGGGAATCCATCCACACTGGTTAAAACTGACGGAGGAGGGAAAGGAAAGGAAGGGAATCCATCCACACTGGTTAAAACTGATGGAGGAGGGAAAGGAAAGGAAGGGAATCCATCCACACTGGTTTAAACTGACGCAGGAGGAAAAGGAAAGGAAGGGAATCCATCCACACTGGTTTAAACTGACGCGGGAGGGAAAGGAAAGGAAGGGAATCCATCCACACTGGTTTAAACTGATGCAGGAGGGAAAGGAAAGGAAGGGAATCCATCCACACTGGTTAAAACTGATGCAGGAGGGAAAGGAAAGGAAGGGAATCCATCCACACTAGTTTACACTGGCTCAGGAGGGAAAGGAAAGGAAGGAAATCCATCCACACTGCTTTAAACTGGCGCAGAAGGGAAAGGAAAGGAAGGGAATCCATACACACTGGTTTAAACTGATGCAGGAGGGAAAGGAAAGGAAGGGAATCTATCCACGCTGGTTAAAACTGCTTCTCTCGTAGGAGGGAAAAGAAAGGAAATGAAGGGAATCCGTCAGCACTGGTTAAAACTGACGCAGGAAGGAAAGGAAAGGAAGGGAATCCATCCACACTGGTTAAAACTGCTTCTCTCGCGGGAGGGAAAGGAAAGGAAGGGAATCCATCCGCACTGGTTTAAACTGATGCAGGAGGGAAAGGAAAGGAAGGGAGTCCATCCACACTGGTTAAAACTGATGGAGGAGGGAAAGGAAAGGAAGGGAATCCACCCACACTGGTTAAAACTGACACAGGAGAGAAAGGAAGGGAATCTGTCCACACTGGTTAAAACGGCTTCTCTCGCAGGAGGGAAAGGAAAGGAAAGGAAGGGAATCCATCCACACTGGTTTAAACTGACACAGGAGGGAAAGGAAAGGGAATCCATCCACACTGGTTAAAACTGCTTCTCTCGCAGGAGGGAAAGGAAAGGAAGGGAATCCATCCGCACTGGTTTAAACTGATGCAGGAGGGAACGGAAAGGAAGGGAATCCATCCACACTGGTTAAAACTGACGGAGGAGGGAAAGGAAAGGAAGGGAATCCATCCACACTGGTTAAAACTGACACAGGAGGGAAAGGAAGGGAATCTAGCCACACTGGTTAAAACGGCTTCTCTCGCAGGAGGGAAAGGAAAGGAAGAGAATCCATCAATACTGGTTTAAACTGAATCAGGAGGGAAAGGAAAGGAAGGGAATCCATCTACACTGGTCAAAATTGACACAGGAGGGAAAGGAAAGGAAGGGAATCCATCCACACTGGTTAAAACTGATGCAGGAGGTAAAGGAAGGGAATCCATCCACACTGGTTTAAACTGACACAGGAGGGAAAGGAAAGAGAATCCATCCACACTGGTTAAAACTGCTTCTCTCATGCGAGGGAAAGGAAAGGAAGGGAATCCATCCACACTGGTTTAGAACGCTTCTCTGGCTTGAACCGAGGCCAGGGAACAGAAGCGGGAGAAAAACTGAATCATTTCTGATTCACTTACTGATTCGGAAGAGAAATGGCAGCAAAAGCTTCGAAAGGGCAAAGGGACTTCCGGTTTCCTTAAAAACTTTGAAATTGCTTCATAAAGGAAATATTTCTGAATTTATTCTGAATTACGAAGATTCTGACCGAACCTAACCATGCCTATTTCCCAGCTCTTGACCTCAGAGTTCAATCTGGGGCAGGACAACTTGCAGAAGCCTTCTCTAGCAAGGTGTCCTCTGGAGATAACAACTCCCATCATTCCAGACTTGGCCATGCAGATGGTATGGCTGGTGATAGGATTATTGGAGTGATCACTTAAGACTTCTGAAGATCAGTGGATGGAGGAAGACCCCATAGAATATGGCTAACACAAGGCACACAGGGTAAAACTGTAGGGCAGTGGTTCTCAATCTTCCTAATGCCACAACCCTTTAACATAGTTCTTCATGTTGTGGTGACCCCCAACTATAACATTATTTTTGTTGCTACTTCACAACTGTATATTTTGCTACTGTTGTGAATCGTAATGTGAATATCTGATATGCAGAAAGGATTATTCATTCACCGGACCCAATTTGGCTCAAATACTCAATACGCCCAAATCTGAATACTGGGAAGAAGGGGGGGGGGAGTTGAGGAGGAATGATTTTGTCATTTGGGAGTTGTAGTTGCTGGGATGTGTAGTTCACCTACCATCAAAGAGCATTTTGAACTCCACCAACAATGGAATTGAACCTAGCACACAGAACTCCCATGTCCAACAGAAAACACTGGAAGGGTTTGGTGGGCATTGACTTTGAGTTTTGGAGTTGTAGTTCACCTACATCCAGAGAGCATTGTGGACTCAAACAATGATGGATCTGGACCAAGCTTGGAACAAATACTCAATATGTCCAAATGTGAACACTGGTGGAGTTTGGGGGAAACTAGACCTTGACATTTGGGGGTTGTAGTTGCTGGGATTTATCATTCACCTACTATCAAAGAATATTCTGAACTCCATCATTGATGGAATTGAACTAAACTTGGCACACAGAACTCCCAAGACCAAGAGAAAATACTGGAAGGGTTTGGTGGGCATTGACCTTCAGTTTTGGAGTTGTAGTTCACCTCCATCCAGACAGTACTGTGGACCCAAACAATGATGGATCTGGATCAAGCTTGGCACAAATACTCGATATGCCCAAATATGAATACTGGTAGAGTTTGGGGAAACTAGACCTTGACATTTGGGAGTTGTAGTTGCTGGGATTTATAGTTCGCCTACAATCAAAGAGCATTCTGAACTCCATCAATGATGGAATTGCACCAAACTTGGCACACAGAACTCCCATGACCAACAGAAAACACTGGAAGGGTTTGGTGGGCATTGACCTTGATTTTGGGAGTTGTAGTTCACCTGCATCCAGAGAGCACTGTGGACTCAAACAATGATGGATCTGGATTAAACTTGGCACAGATACTCAATATGCCCAAATACAGTATGAATACTGGTGGAGTTTGGGAAAAATAGACCTTGACATTTGGGAGTTGTATTTTAATTGGAAAAGTTGGGGGTCGTCTTATACACCCAGTCGTCTTATACACCGGAGAATTTGATATCCCACACATAGGGCAAACAGACTATCCATACATTATGCTTCATTGAACAAAAACATATTAATACTTACTGCTGAAAGGGAATAAAATGTTGTTTATCTTCATCATCCACCTTCCCATGAATGATATCTGTGATGTCCATCACTAGAATAACGCAAATGTTAGTCAATTATATTGCCACAATAAGATGGTTTCAAATCATATATATATATATATACCAATACTTTGACATGATCATTTCATTTCAAACCAGGGATGGGTAATCTCTGATCTTCCTGCTTTTGGATCTCATGATTGCTCAGAACTAATCAGGCTAGCTAAAGGAAACTAAGGCCCCTGTGAAGGAGCGCAAAATTACTGCCACCAAATTTGTGAGGAAGCCCTGTAATTCTCAGCATCAACTTAGGAGCTGGTTTATAAAGGGAATATTAGTTACAGAAGTATTTATTTATTTGATAGCGTAGCGTTTAATGTCCCTGGTTTGGTTTTTCTACTTAAGCAGGCTGTTTGACTTAGGAGAAACTGTATCAGGCAAGGCTTGAGGAGAACAGTAACAATTTTATTGGAACAAGCAAGGTATAACAGATTCAATTGTTTCTTCACAAGAGGCACAAATCTTGATAGGTTACATTAGTAAGGTTTCATGAGTCACTTTAGGTACTGACTTTAAGAGGTTTCTATAAGCAGATGTATCTTTCCTGGACAACTGTCCTAATAAAACAAATAAGCTAAAAGGCTTATTTAACAGAATTGGCTCCCAGCCAAACCCTGATTCTTAATATTAAAGAACCAGTCTTCCCTATAGTTCTCTAACTATAGTATTTCTGATGGTTTTCCACACACCACAGGATCAACTACCTTCTCCTGTAACTCTTTGGTCACAGACTAGTTCCCTGTTTCTCCCACTAGAGAAATCAGTCTTCCCTGTAACTCTACCGGTCACAGACTAGTTCCCTGTTTCTCCCACTAGAGAAATCAGTCTTCTCTGTAACTCTTCCGGTCACAGACTCTTCCCTGTTTCTCCCACTAGAAAAATCAGTCTTCCCTGTAACTCTTCCGGTCACAGACTCTTCCCTGTTTCTCCCACTAGAGAAATCAGTCTTCCCTGTAGCTCTACCGGTCACAGACTGCCACTTTCAAACAGCTGCCCCGTGAAGTGACAGTTGGCTCCGCCCCCGTTGCTATGGCAACTCTGCTCAAGCCAAACCAGCCACTATCTCTAACAAAATATAATCCTACATACTTACCGTTTATTAACTACTGTTTAAACAACACATAACCATAAGAATAAAAGTTACACATCGTCACAGCCCCTTTTACATTTCCAAATAAAATCCAGATTATCTTCTTTGAACTGGATTATATGGTAATGTAGACTCATATAATCCAGTTCAGGAAGTGCTAACACCTTTCATGTCTTGTTCCGGAACTTCTCGTTTGTAACCTCTTAGGTTGGGAAAATGAGGCATCCTATAAGGGATGTAAAAGTCTACTCTGACGTGGTGAGGAAACCAGAACTTCCCCGAAGCTCACCACTCTTGGTGTTGTAAGTTTCAGAGTAGGACAAAAGCAATGCTTGATATTCAAGTCACTTGTTCTACAGATAATGTGGATAAACAGGTACGTAAGTACAGACCAGGGAAAGCAACGATCTGTTGCACTGATCCAGATGATGTTCAAATCACCTAATCTCAGCTTTCAAGTTCCTGAGAATTTTTCTAGTTTGAAGCCAGCCTTTGGAAATCATAGCTTTGCCTGGAAAATTTACTTTTCTGGATGTCTGAGAATTCATCCACTTTTCAAATTTTTCTGATAATCATAAGGGATAGAAACCAGTTAACAGAAAAACACAAAAAACTGCTATTCTAATGAAGATAATTATTCTAATGACAATTAACATCATTAGATTTCCTGCTCACGAATAAATACTCCAAGGGTTGCTGTGAGTTTTTTCGGGCTGTATGGCTATGTTCCAGCAGCATTCTCTCCTAACATTTTGCCTGCATTTGTGGCTAATGGCTTCTTTGGGGTTCTGTTGCCAGTGAGGCAAGTGGAGTGTGTGTGTGTGTGTGTCTGTGTGTGTATGTGTGTGTGTGTATATATATATATATATAAGGCTTGGGTAAGTTCATTCGTTAGTTTCTAAAATCGTAATTAATTCGGATTAAATTACCTTTTGATCCAATTTCGAGCCATGCAGGAATAGTGGGAGGAGCAGTTCTGAACTCAAACAACTTCCCCATTGTTCGGAATCATTTTCGGATGTGGCTTTGCACACCCGGATATGCAAAGAGGGACGAGGTGGGCGTGGCTAAGAACAGCTCTTCCTGCAGGCCACTAGGGGAGCTGTTCTTAGCCACGCCCACCTCGTCCCTCTTTGCATCGCCGGGCATGCAGAGCCGCCGATGCAAAGAGGGATGAGGTGGGCGCGGCTAAGCACAGCTCTCCTTGGAGGTTGCTGAGGGCGTGACATTCAGGAAAAGCTATGCTTAGCCACGCCCACCCCGTTCCTCTGCATCACAGCTCGCCGCAAGGGAAGGAAAACTGCGAGATTTTAATGATTCTGGAGGGAGGGAAGGGCACCTTCCATTAACGAAGCAAACGAAGCAATTTGTATTTCCTTTTCTTCTTCAGGCTAAACATGCCCAGCTCCTTAAGCCGCTCCTCATAGGGCTTGTTCTCCAGACCCTTGATCATTTTAGTCATCCTCCTCTGGACACATTCCAGCTTGTCAATATCTCTCTTGAATTGTGGTGCCCAGAATTGGACACAATATTCCAGGTGTGGTCTAACCAAAGCAGAATAGAGCATGGGGAGCATGACTTCCCTAGATCTAGACACTTGATTGTTTGCTGTCTGGAGTTCTCCTGTTTCTGAGTGGTGTGCTTGATTTACTATCGGATTTTTTTTAATACTGGTAACCATTGTTCATTGTCATGATTTCCTCCTTCCTGTTAAAATTGTTCCCTTTGAGAAATGCCAGGTTCCAACCATACCTGCTACTCCGAAGGGTCTCCGGAGGCCAAAGGTGTGCTTCTTGCCCTCTTTCAGCTCCATGTGACCCACTCTCACAATCTGACACACCAGGCTAATTCGAGGTCGGATCAGGTCAGAACTGCTAAGGTCCTAGAAGAGGAAGGGAAAGAATGACAGAAGGCATCAGATCACAGCTTGGATTGGTTTGGGAAGAAAAAGCTGTGGTTGAGTGCCCTATGAATCTGATTTCTGACTCTTCAGTTGACTGAGATGTTCCGTGTGGTAGTGAGTGGTGCTGGTCTAAGTTGTAAGCACTGTGTACATTTTATAAACAGTGTATGAGCACAGGCATCCATGACTTCCCCCATTTTGTAGCATGTGTCTAGTGCAGGGGTCCCCAAACTAAGGCCCGCGGGCCGGATATGGCCCCCTGAGGGCATTTATCCGGCCTGCGGGGTGTGGAGAAGCGGGGGGG